TCGTTGTGCAAACTGCCAGCAGCAGTCCTAGCAGTTGTCCTGCGAAGGCGAAAGCCATTCTCAGACAAGGACAGAGTAAAAGTTCCACCCATGTGGATACACTGGGAAACAGTTTGGACCATTAATGTTTACGATTTTGTTGAAATTTAAAAGGTATGTATATCCTTGCATTCCTTATATTTATCCTTTATAAACATATATTCTTTAATTAGTCCTTTGAGTAAATTTTTGCCAGACCTTTCCTTAGTTTCTTAAAATGATTTCAAATGCGATTGACTGAAAATTCTCATTTTTTATGTTTAAAAACATAATTGAAATACCTGTGAAATGTAGTTAATTGCTTAATAAAATATATCAAATATATTTTCAGTGCATTTAACTTTTTCTTTTTGGTGCAAATAAAAGGCAATACAGCACAGTGGGTGACAGAGGGGAAGGATTGAACTGAGCAAATTGAAATGGTTTCGTAACGTAATGAAACTGGAGCTGTACAGTGGGTGTGAGTGTAGCTTTAATACATACAATTTATATATATTAAAAAATATACACTAATACAATGGAGCAAAATAATAAATGGGGCTCTTAAAGTTTATGCATTTTTATTATATATTTTATTATTATATTATTTTATAATTTTAGTTAAAAGTTTGCAACGCAATGTAGGGGTCATGCTTCTCTCTCTCTCCCTCTCTCTTACTCTTTCTTAATCTCTAAAATTTTTTGGTATGTGAATCCCCCTTTCTCTGGAGATAGCTCTCTCTCTCTCTCCAGCTCTCACTTTCTCTGTTCTCTTTACTCGGCGACTATAAATACGAGCACAGCCTTCGCCTAGCCTCATTCTGTCCGCGGCTTTCCCACCGTTTACATCTTAGTGAAAGTGATAGTGATCCTTTGATCCCAAAAATATCACCTGACCTATGCAATACATCTGGATAACCGGGAAGAAGTCCACTTCGATAAAACCATGAAAAGCCTTATTATTATAATTTAATATATATAACTCTAGTTTTTTATACATTTACAAATAAATAAACATTAATGTACATACATTTTTTTAAATACATAAAATAGGTTTATATATTTCCACACTCCACTGTGCTGTCTCCACATTATATGTGTCTATTCCGGTTTCACGTATCGAAATAATAAAAAAAAACACATTTTGCTCACATATTTGGTTTGATTTATACAAAAATTGTACATTTTGTGTTCTTTTTTTTCGGAGACTGTGTGTGTGTGCTTTCATAAAGCCCCCACTCTTGTTTCCACAAAATCACTTCTCGTGCGCCTCGTTTATTTTTTTATTCCTGTTCAAATTATATTGTTGACCAACAACGGCAAGGATGTGTGTGTGTGTGTGTGTTGTTGTGCCTTTGATTTTGTTGATTTCGCCCGGTTTTTGTTTGACTGACAGCGACACCAGCCGCATACCAGCAGACCCAGTCCCAGTCCCAGTCTCAGTTCCAGACCGAGTCCCAGAGGCCAGGTCCCGAGTCCCAGGTCCCCAATTTCGACCCCAGGGAACCCATCCGGCCATCAACATTAACGCGCTCCGTTGGCCGTTTGCCCATAATCCTTTCAATTTTGAAATCATTTTTTATTTCAACCTTTTTTGTGTGTGTGTGTGCCGGCCCGTCGTTCCCCATTTTTTGCCTTTTTTTTTATTTTTTGCGACCCCTTTTATGAAGTCGGGAACCCCGACCCTGGCCGCAAATATTTATGAAATGAATACGCTCACATTCCCGGCGCTCCTTTTGATTGATGCCCACTGATGTTGTCCGGCGATCCGACGGAAAAAGGGTTGGCAGGACGAACGGCAGGAAAAGGGTTTCAGGAGGAGGAGGATGAGCAGCCATCCCAAATCACTTTGGAGCTCATCCAAGCATCTCCTAACGACAATGACATCCTGTTTATCCAGGCGGCATTCAAAGCCGATCATTTACACCTTTGCATTCACATACCCATCACCAGCTCCATCTCCATCCCCATCCCCATTCACATTTGCAATTCCATCAATTACAGCATTTAATCAACTCGTTAAGCCAGCTCTCTCGGACCGACCCCACCTCAAAAACCAGCCAGCGCCACCTGTCGATAACCCATGGATGTACAGACACTGAGAGAAATGAGCATTAAATAACTTGGAATAACCTGAAAACCTTTTCAAAAGTATATACATATATCTGTGACTTAAAAATATATTTATACCATTTAGCACACAAAAAATAATAGTAAATTTTAAAGAGCGGAGTTTTAAGACCATTTTGTACTTCTTTTCAGAATATTTTTCATGTTTAATTTTTTTTAGTCAGAAGCTGCAAACTAAGTGAAGAAGTCATTTCCGACCCTATAAATCATATATATTCTTGATCAGCATCAACAGGCGAGTCGATCTAGCCCAGTCCGGATAAAATTTAATTTTTTCAAAATTTTCAACATTTTATAAGCGGTTACATCGTTAAAATAGCCGAAAAAAAATGGCAAAAATGTTGATCTTTTTATATTTTAATTTGAGTATGCAGATTTATTATGCTAACAAAAACTAGCATAGAACCGGTTTCCGATTTAAAATTTATGCTTTTTTGGATTAGTTATGATTTTTTTAAACTTGGATTTGTTGAACAAATTGTCTTAAATAATATTCATAAATGTCAATTCAAAATTTGCAAAACTTTTAACTTAACTTTAAAACTGCAAGCGTATATAAATTTTGGCTTCCCAAAGTTAGATTCCTTTCATGTTTTGTTAAAAATTTTAATACTCTGACAGGATCTAAATATGCTAAATTTAGCTATATTTCAATTAATGTAATGCAAAGGATATTATCAAAAAATTGTTATAACTTTTAAAGAAAAAATACATATATTTCTAAATTCAATAATTAATCAACATATAAAATTAAGAAATTATATATATATATTCAGAAATGAATAAATTTTCTATGTGTGTCGTTGCAGGGGATTTTCAGGGCGGCAACTGGGGCCGTTGTCGAGGTAATTACGAAAATGAAATCAGTTCGAGGTAAGCTGCATAATGCAGGCATCCGAGGGCGGCGGGCTTGTAAAATTGAATGTCCAGTTGATCGGCCTTGGGGGGTCGGTGGGCGGTGGGTGTTGGTCAATGGCACAGGAGCTCCTGCTGGTGATGGTCCTTCTGGTGTCCTGTGGATGTGAATGTGTAGGTGAATGTGGTGGGCTGGCCCCAGGGCGTGGCCGGACAACCTCCACCTCAGTGGTCATATTTGGCCACATGTCCTGGGCATCAAATGCGGTTATATTGGGTTGCCATTTCGGCCTGGAAAAGTAGCAGGAAAATTCTGTGTTTGGCAAAATTTTGATTGCATATTTGGTTCTTTGTCGAATGTCCCAAAAGGGGGAGGCAATTCGGAGTGCGTAATTAGGTTGCAATGACAGTTGCAGCAGGCAGGGATATGCAAGAGAAGGATACCAGAAATAGGGTAATGAAAAGGACATTCAATGTGCAAACAAAATACGAGTGTAATAAGCACATCGTTGGCTTTGATTAAATTTTAAAAAATTTGAAAAATAAATAGAATACTTATCGGACATGTATAGCCTTTTTTATTTAACTTAAATATACTTGTATCCTTTATTCTGCAATAATAATCTAAGATAAACAAGTGGAACTACTAAATAAATATATAAAAACTGAAAAATAAACAAAATTAAAACAAAAATTATCTTATTACTTTTGTTCAACAGTGCGTATGCGCAATATGGCTACCGTGAACCAATAAATTGATTTTAATTTGATTTTACTTTAAAAATTCAATTAAATTCTTGTTATCTACAAATTGAAATTAATCATCAATCCTGCGAATAATTCATTTTATTATTATGAATCAGAAAAAAGAGTCAAGGTAAAGCATCTCTCAAGTGTCTGATAAATCCTTCTTGTCTTATTCAAGAACCTTTGTCGATCTGAGTCCTTTTGTCAAACCTTTCTCCTATATATATATCCAAAAACTCAATTTCCGCTGTAAAAAATCAAAGACTTGCAACACAACGATGGGGGTGTGTTTTTTTTTTGGTTCTATCATAAAAAAATCGTTTGCCGTTGGAAAATAAAAATCAAATTTAAAGCGGCAAAGAAACCTGTCCCCCGTACCCTGAATAAACAGGCCAAAGACAACAGCCAAGGGCCGGAAGTGTGGAAAAGGGGCCTGGAAAACTCATGGAGAGGACAGAATTTTCCCCCTCTCACACACACACACACACACACACATACAACTAAATGTCGCAATTTTACGAGTCAATATAAAGGTGCCTGGGGAGTCATTTACAGGCGCACAGCGGTTTGCCTTCGTTCCGTTTTCTTTGGCAATAAAACATCTCACAAGAGGACACCGAACACAGGACACAGGACTCCGGATTCAGGATGGGGAAAGCGGGAAAGCGGAACGCGGAAATGGTTGCCGCAAGGAAAATGAGAAAAACACGTGTACGGCAAAGGGACCCTGGGTAAAGTCAAATATGATGGCAATTTTTATGCCTTTTTGTTGAAATATTTCCACCAATGAGGCATAAAACAGAAGCCGAAACGGAACCTCGCTCTGCACCGGAATGATTTACGATCCCGGCTTGAGTTTTACGACAAATTTACGAGAACATTGCAATTTGGCTATTATTAATTTAGTACAGTGAAGTGAACTCTGTGCTCAGGTGGACAAGGACCTGGACCTGGCCAGTTGTTTGGTGGAAGGATTTTGTTGGTGTCCTTTTTTTGTGGAAATTGTTTTCAGAACAGAACATTTGGTTTTTGGGGATATATTTTGGGTTGATTAAATAAATGTTTCAAGCTTCGAATGATGCTATAACACTATATGTTGTTTAAATATATTAAAAGTGTCTTTTAAATAAGTTAAATTTAAACGAAAAAAATTCAACAATTACAACAAATTATAACTGCACAACAACCCTATGATAATTCTATTTAAGTATTTAATATTATTTCATAATTTATTCACATGAGTAAATGGTTTTTAATTAGTTATATATAAATGGCAAGTGTGACTACAACTGATATACATTTAATTATTAATTAAATTTAACCTTTACTCCTCCATTTGTAAGAATAAGACTGATGAATTGATAAATGCGCCGAATTTTTGCTGGCTCTCGCTGTGCAACCATGGCAGTCTCCATGGACAGTGATATCTCCATTCCGAATGGTTATCTTGGGTATATTTATTCTGCCTACAATAAAATACAAGAATTAATAAAGAATTCCAAGAAGATAATATATTATGTGAATATCTTACCAGCACTTCCAAAATCTGCAAGGCAAAGCATCGCCAGAAGCGTGACAAATAACGAAAGATACTTCATTGCGGCGACAATTCCGATGAGAAACTGATTGAGAGGCCACAGTAATGGACTTATTATATAGCTTTTTGCTCGATGTGAGCAAGTCAAGAATAAGTGAAAATACCCTTGAATATTTTATAAAACCTTAGGATTTTCCCAAAGAACAGCTGGAATGAAAGCAAAACCCCCGTCGCACTTGATAACCTATGCAATATGACTGAAGCCCCATCTCGTTTGATGTGCAGCTTTAAAGCTTCTGCTTTCCAGCTTCGGAATTTAATTTATATATTTAGCAGCACTTTAGATAGACACTGCGTAAAAACCAATAATGACGTAAGGTATTCGATTTGTTATTAAGTGCAGTGATTTAGTAACACATTTATCGTAAATAACACATTTATGGGAAATGTTTGATATTTGTTTATATGTTAAAGGTATCAATAAAATTAAAAAATATTTTCCAAACATGTTAAAGTAAGAGTAATTTTTTTAATTTAATTAAAAAATATATATATTCCAGTTTGGAACACTAATTTTTGAGGTGTAATAGAAAGAAATATTTTTAATTGAAGAACAACATTTTAAGTTATTGAACATATTTTGCGATAGGTCAGTTAGTACTGGGTATATCATAGTCATTACATTTTATAATATTTCTTCTTGTTGTATATTTGCTTTGGCAATTTAAACATTTGTCATTTGGTTACTGTTAGCAGGTGACTAACCTTCATAAAATTGAAATATAAACACAAACAAATCAAACTGGATTTATGCATCTTCTTCATTGGTTTTTGTGACATTTTTTTCCACACGTGCCATTTATTTATAATAAATATTGTATGCCCGATTTTTGATAAGTAACATGTATATATGAGGAAGCAGATAAACATGCTTATGATTACATTTTCATCTTAATCAGATGATTAAGATCTAGCCTTGCCTGTCTTGTTTTGTTATCTTAAAGAATCATCTTCAGTTATATATAACATATATTTTAGAATATTTTTTTATTTACAATCCTAACATTCTTTGATAAATTAAACTAAAACGTATATTTTTCAATTGAAACAAAGTTAATAACCTCTGCAAATCCTTAGTAATTTGGCTTTAAAACTCGGCTTTTACATAGTCTAGGGTATTCCATAGTCGTACGTTTATTCTAGTTAATTAAACAACTATTAACAATAAAATTATTAAATTTATTATCGGTATAGATTTTAAATAGTTAATTAAGTTAAATTTTTGAAAGGAAATAATGTCTATAAAAGATTGAATACGAACTTAAACTATATTCGGAAATATACGTAAATATAAATGTTGTTTTGTGATTTTATTTGATATATAGACAGAAAATTATTTCGAGCGTGAAAATAAAGTAAATAGGCTTTACTTATTTTAAAATAACTTTTTAAAATGTGTGTAAGAAATCTTGTATGTAATTTAAATACACAATAGTGAATTTCTTTTTCTTATTAGATATTTGTACTATTTCATTACTCATTCATTTATTGCTTCTCATATTTAATTATTCAATTTTTAAAATATTCAACAATTTAAGATAAAGATGTCAGATTTTTGCTAATTATATTTTATTAATTTTCAGTCTCCGCCCCCGCTGATGCTGCAGCCGACACAGTCCGCGTTGTGGAGGTAAGTGTTACCCGGAACACGGCCACTGAAGCCCTCAGGATACTGGGAGACAGAATCACCTCCTCTACTTATCTTAGGACGAGGCCTAAGGGCAGAACCCTCCAGAGCTCCTGGATATGCGCCCGGCGAATTAATATAAACAGTTCCTTGTCCCGGATTACCCCTGCTGTGGACTTGGCCATCGACTATAACCTTTTCCCCCACCGGCGGACTGCAATCCAGGCATCGTCCGCCAATGACCACGGTTCCGGCTGTGAAGGATTGGAATAATGACTGAGTGCTGGGGATAATGGGAAGGCCATGTCTGCTTACCTGTGACCAGGGACACCAGGACAGCGGCAATGACTAAGGCCAAAATCAGACACTTCATTCTCGATCTGGTTGCAAGACGAATCTGCTTGAGGTGCCTGAGTTCTTAAAGCTTTTAAGCGATTTCAATTGCTTTGTTTTAGAAACCAGATTGCATGTCGTCGCACAGTCAAGTGGCGAAGTGGGGAATCGCCCGGGAAACCAGTTCAATTGGTAGATAATTCTTTGCAAAGGGGTTTTCCAGAGCTGATTATTTCATCTGAAATCGAACTGGATCGATGTATTGTAGTATATGTTCAAGCGAAGCAAACACAAAGCACTATTTGAGAATTTTGTTTACAAATATTTGTTTATTTTAAGTCTATGATATTTTTAAGAAACAGGTAAAAAGATATTTGCCTAATTTTGGATTTAATATATATAAGAGATATCATATTTAAGATTTTTTAAATATTATTATCTGCTTTGATCTAAAATTTCCAAGGGGTTCTAACTAGGAAAGTATATCAAGAAGAAAAGTCCGATATAATATATCTAAAATAAATTCGTCTTGCTAAGCTTTACTGTATCGAAATAATTGATATACAACAATTTAAACATATCAAATTTATCGTTAATATACTGATAGTATCGATTTACAGACTATATTTAATACATCATTAAAATAAAATGTTGTTCTAGATTTGTATATTTGTTTCCAGCAACAAAAGTTTAAATATATGTATATATCAGAATATCAATTTATCAGAATGCCTAAATATCGAAATACATATCGGTATCGATAGATAGCAATAATTTCTTTTATCCTTAGGTCTAAAAAACAGTTTTGAAGTTGGTAAGCTTTGCATACTGATAAGGCTTCCATCTAGATACTTGCTTTATGATTTTAATAAGATATGTTAATGCTTATTAAAAATAAATGTTCAAATAGAAATGTAGGCCATCAGAAATAAGTTAAATACTTTAGTAGTTATTAGTGATAAGTAATATTTTTTTATTTCAAAATTCAAAGTTTCCATTAAGGTTATTTTTTCCAACTTTTTAATTTTATTATTCCGAGTGTCAGAACCTCAACCCCGAATGTTGCAGCCGACGCAATCGCTGTTGCGGACAAATGTATCGGGGGTGCCACGGGAGTCGATGGTGGTAATGGGACCATTTCCTGTCCAACCACCGATATATTGTTCACTTCCGCCCCTCCCACCGCCCCACTGACGCTTGTGCCGCCCGATGTACTGAGCTCCGCCAGCGGATTGATGCAATGACCATCCGGATAGATCATCATCATCCTCATCCGAATCGGAATCTTTCCGGGCTGGTGAAGCTTTCGATCTGGGCTTGGGCGTTGTCTTGCCGCCATGTCCTCGGGCAGGAGTGGGTTTCCGTGTGGTTGTGGTAGTGGGATGTTCGTTGCAATTGATACACTCACCCTTGATGCTCACCTTGCCGGCTGTGGGATATAATAATAATTATATAATAATAATTACTTAAGTACTATTTTATAATATTTCTAATCATTATTATACTAACCTTGCACATAGGCCAATGTGGCCAAGACCAAAAGCATTAACAATGTCAGACACTTCATTATTGCGGCTCTCCAACTGGCTGGATCGACGGCTGTCTGGTCAAGCACCTTCTTTTATAGCTGGATTATTATCTTGGGCTTGAATCTCAAATCTGTAAATGTAGTATATATAACATATATATAAGAATACGGGAGTGTGCACGTTTTCATAAATATATGTACACCCCTCTCAACGCTGGAATAAGCTTTAAATGATGCCTTATTTTCTATATATTTTTTTTTGAGACAAAGGTGAACTATTGACTGTTACTTGTAGTTAGATTAACTTTATAAGATTAGTTTATTTGTATGAATTTTAGAAATCCCTGAGGTACCTGATGATATGTCCTGATAGACTTGATAATTTCCCATTTCCTACTATAGTTATTAGAGGGACACGACTATGTGATACCATAACATTTTGATATAATATAATTATGTGAAAATTAAAAGTTTAAATATAGATTTTTAACTTTTAGTGTACCCTTTTGGTATTATCACAAATGCTGATATATTAAAAAATATTTAAACTTGTGAATAAATCGATAATTAGTTTGATATATTGCTAATAACCTTCTTTTAATTATTGTTATAAAAATCTCTGAATTTTGCTAGTTAAAAACAAACGTTTCGAAAAAGTTTATTAAATTACAAAGTTTACTAATTTAAACCTATTAAATTTATCACTTCTTCTAGAGAATTAATATCTACCTGCATTCTAAGAAGTACTTGATACATTAATAGTGTATTACACAAGTGTAGAATTGATTAAGTTAGAACCAACACGTGTTTACTTCCTAATTAACATATATTCAGCGGTTTTTAATTAGTCGATACACTTTTTATAATACCGAAATAAATGCATACAATATAAATACTTTGTTATTGGCTTACCACAGCTTGATGTTTGATTTAATTAGCGCTGGCTGCAAGTAAATAAAAGTAAATAAACACACAATAAAATAATATCAAATATATATTTTTTTGCCAAGGAGAAGCTAAAAAAATGATGATGAAATTTCCTACATTACTATCCAATGTCCAATCACATACTAGAACCCTTTTTCGCTTGAATTAAGATTTAATAATATTCACTTCTACCTGCTATTTCGCATAACAGACACTTATTGACTTTGGCGTAAACACTAGACTGGAATTTCCAGATTTAAATACGCAAAAAAAAAAGGTAAATAAAAAAATTGTATACTACTCTACGATGTTTATAGCGCAGAGAGTGCTAACCTTTCTGTGTTTTCCCAAACACGTCTTATTTGTTGTCGGGGGTTATCAGAAGCCTCCGACTACCCAATGCACTCGAGTCGCCGTCGATCCGATCCGATCTGTTCCGATCCCAGCGGACTGCTATATAAGATCATGTGCGACGGACCGACAGCATCAGTTCAAGCCAATCAATTGCTCAGAGCATTTAGCATCCAAACCGGAAGAAATCCCAGGAATCAATATGAAATTCTTCTCCGTTGTCACCGTCTTTGTGCTCGGTCTTCTGGCTCTGGCCAATGGTAAGTTGCGGAACTACTCTTCCTGAAGGAATTATTTAACTTATTAATTGTATTTCTATTCATAGCTGTTCCTCTGTCGCCCGATCCCGGAAATGTGATCATCAACGGCGACTGCAAATACTGCAATGTGCATGGCGGCAAGTAGAGGAAGGTTCTCGCCGATCTTGATGATCGTTACAAGGCCATAGCTTACCTCACCATCCAAGACACATTATTTATGCTACAAATCTGTACTAAAGTGAAACATAGAATTTAGAAACAATGCCAATAATACAACAACTAAAATGAAAACTACATCTTCTGCCAGTGTGTTTGTCTTTTATTATAATTTTTACAATTTCAGCTAAAAATCTAAAACAATTTTCAATGCCAACGAAAGTAAAGTTCTCTGAACTATAAAAAAATGGAATAATTGTAAAAAATGCAATTTATAATCAATAAAAGTAATAAGGAAACTAAAATAATTGAAAAAAACCTTACTGTCATGTATTTTGGTAGCATTACTCTGCAGCTTGAATGTTTTTTTCCGTTTATATGCTCTTTAAGTTAATTTAACAACTAAATATATATATATAAACACCTTGCTAATATTTAAATATATTTATAAGTGCATATATACTCATACAAAAATAGCTACAATATTTCTTATTAAATGTTTTGAAACAATGACAACGGTGCGTATGAGTTATTTACATCCGCATTGTATGTATATTACGTATCCGCACTGTTGTCATATTTGCAAAGACTTTGAACATGTAATAAATAAATCATTTTAGTATATTACAACTACTGATAATTTGATTATATTTCACAATTTCGCCTGATTTACGTACATTTAAACGGACATATTAATTATGTACCAATGCCTTTGCAAAAATTAATAGAAATAATAAACCATTTTCCATAGATTCATAGATTCTTGCTGTTAATACATGTTCATTTTTAAATACACATACATTTATTTTTTTAAATATATATTTTTATTTTTATCAATACATATATTTATGATTTGCATAATGGTTAGTGGGTTTTAAATAATACTATGGTTTTGTATCTCTTAAGAAATGTTGTTTATATTTATAATTAAATAATCTCACATTTCATTGTAATATTTTTTACGAAATTATTCTGAAAACATATAACACATAACTAAGAAATTAAATGAAATGAGTATTGTAACTAAGAAATGATAAACTAATGAATTTATATAAAAATATACCTTAATAATAAGATTTATTCAGAAAAACTTATGCAGTTTACTTCTCTATATATACCCTGGAAATATAGAGCAAGTGTTTAATTATATATATATATCTCTTTCTTGCAATACTCGCAATTACAGACGAATCAATTTAGCCAGGTCTCTTTTTATTCATCAGTTCATATTTTCTTATAGGTGTGTAAATATGGAATTTCAATTCACTTAAATTATAATCAAAAATTATTACTTATAAAATCTATTGGCTTTAATTATGATAGTCAGTAAATACATCTATATATATACATATATGTAAATATTTCTTTCAGAAATTGAAACTGTTAAAGCGCATTTCCATAAATATAGTATATCTCTTTTATATATTAAATAATGTCTACATATTTTTTTACCAGGTATCTCTCAGTCGAAGCCCCTATGTTGCCATTTGCATCGCTTGTACTTGTTTATCCATTTGTTCTTAATTTTACACGTGCTCTTTTGCGTAATTGATTCCAAGGAATCAAAGGTGTAAACTTGAGCAAATGTTTTGCCTGCAAAACGAGTCGCAATACGTGGAATTAAGGCCGTGGGGCACCATGCCCGTCAGCCAGCTTAAATCAGGTTTAAAATCTCTCAGCTGCACGTGAATTAAATCTCGCTCCGGGACAGATTTCCCTCCATCTATCAGACAACACTTGTCTACGCTCGGTTTTCATTGAGAACGTCGCCCTGCAGCCGGGGAATTTCTGATCTTGGAGCTGCCTTCTGGGCGAATCCCAATCTCGGCAAGACTTTTCCCAGGCAGCTTGATAAGACGCAGCTCGGTCTATGAAGCTACAGAGCGATTGGGCTATATAAGCACTGCAGTTCTCCGGTTTCAGCATCAGTTGTCAGCTGCCAATCCACCAGAGTTCACTCGCCGAGTTCCTCAAAAAAACAAAACACAAAACTATTTCAACATGAAATTCCTGTCGCTCGCCTTCGTCTTGGGTCTGGTCGCCCTCGCCAGCGGTCAGTACACAAAAATCAATAACAATTAAATAAATAAATTAATAAATATATATATTTTTCTATTACAGCCACTCCCCTGAATCCCGGCAATGTCATCATCAACGGCGACTGCCGCGTCTGCAATGTGCGAGCTTAGGGTCACTGAGATGGAGGAAGGAATACAATCCAGCTATCGGTCAATTTAGAAAATGCACACCGCCATACAATAGTTTGTCATAAATATTTAAGTAAAAAGCCAACAAAAATTCAATGAAACTTTAATAAAAAAACAATATAAAAGAAATTTAATATGTTTATTTGGGGAATAATATAAAATAATATATATTATACATCGACATCCTGCTGCTTTTTCATACTCTTTCCAACAATTTATATCACAGCTTAATTATATAATGTATATAAAAACTTACACATTTAATAATAAATTACAAAACCAATAAGTTTGACCTTCAGACAAATCCAGTATATTCCTTAAAACACCCTAAAAACTGTAAATTTGAAAAGTTGATGAATTCTCCAACAAAATTATAAAAGAAATACAATCTACTTTGAGATTTTGTAAATAGAATTATTTTCCTAATAGATTTATTTAAATTTAAAAACAAATAGTAAATCAAACCATGTCTGTGTGTAAATATTCACTGAAATGAAATGAGTACTACATTTAATACATTTACTTTGTAACTGAGGCAATTATAAGGTTATAATTATATATATTATTAATAGGAATATATACAATCTTCCTTAGATCTGTATAATGTCTGAAAAACAGTAATCTATATAAATACATATTTGTTTCTTTTAAAAGGGAATTAATGTTTAAATTACTTTACTTTCCTACATACAGTAAGATTATAGAAATAAAAAAACGTAAAAAAATCGTTGTATGTAGTTCATTATTTCCAGAGAATACTGTACCCTTATGTTCATATATACTATATACTAATCCCATATAAAAAGCAGAGCAATCTCGTATTGGCATTCAGATTAAATCGAAAGTCAAACCATGAAACCTCTTCAAATCGCCTCGGCTGTGATGCTGCTGCTTTGTTTACTGTCTGTGGTTAACGGTAATTGATATTGCATATATTTAGATTTAATTATTCTGTAAATATATATGTATTTTTTGGATATTTTAATTGCAGCCACCCCGGGAAAGGTGTATATTAATGGAGAGTGCATCGACTGCAACAAGCCCGATAATGATAAAAACATAATTATGGGTCCTGGAGAAAAATCGGGTTCCATGTCATATACTTTAACTTCTGGAGCCATGGCCTTTGGAATTTTATATCAATTGCTTAGTTTAATTCATATTTAATATAAAAATAAAGAAAGAAAATGATACAAAATAGTTGAGAATTTTCGTCTTAATTAAGGTATATTTTTGGACATTAAATATTTCAATAAATTTAAGTATTTGCAGACTTATTAAAACGTAATTGCAGTCAAAATATTATTAATTATTTTACACTCTGTTTCTATTGCATACTCTATTATTATTTGAGTCTGTTTGTACATATTTTTAATGTTTTTGAATAACCAACTATAAAAATCGAAATATATTAAAATTTTGGCTGGAAAGTATAAGAGTATTTTAAGCAATTCAGGTATCTCTATTTCTTATTGAGAGACCTGTAAGATTTTGTATCTCATAAAAACGGACATGGCTAAATCTACACTGCTGGTGATATTGACCAAAATAGGCAAATTCTTCCTGGTATCTTGAACTCTTTCGGATTTCACAACATATGTGTTTTCCATTGAATCTAAATATACTTTATATTGTTTTTTAATAAATAAAATAGGGAAATATATTGACAATGCTTAGCTTTTACTTTACTTTTAAATAAATAAACTTCATCCATAAATAAATATTTCGCTGGGAGCTTCCCCATCTACATATATATTTAAAAATTGTATTAATTGTATATTTAATCAATTTCTATTATCATTGCTCGTGACAGGCTGCTGCATTTAAATATAGTACATCTTATTCTTATCAATGGGAATATTCTGTTTCTCGGGTATTTCCAGTTTGAATTCGACCTTGCGCATTAACCTAGTGAAAAATCGAATTATTAATCAAATTAATATGTGCAGGGAATTTCCTGCATTTTGTCACATTTTCCAAGGGCCTATAAAAGAAAATAAATTAAAGGTATTGCAATTAGTTGCATTCAAACCATTGCCATGAAGTGGATTTCCTTGATCTTTGCCTTGGGCTTTTTGGCCCTGGCCAGTGGTAAGTAAAAGGGGATTTCTTCTAAAAATAATATAATTGTGAAATACATATTTATAATAATTTTATTAAAATTTATTTAACTTATTTAGCCTCTCCACTGGTTCCTGGTAACGTTGTTATAAACGGGGATTGCCGAAACTGCAATGTCCATGGAGGTTAAATCTTGAATGCTGTTAATTGTGGAATATAACGAAACATTTGATAAATATCTGTGGTTTTATCAAATTTGTACTTTATTAGTTCAGATATGTACTAAATTTTAGACAGATCAATTCGAATAACCAAATAACTCACCACAAATTTGAAATAAATATGTAAAATCCATATCACTTTTATCCAATAAGCAATTCTTATCTTTTGTTTATATTTTTCTTTAAAGTACTGTAACATTACTAAATAAAAAACATTTCACCAAATTCAATGATTTAAAGAACTCATTTTATTTCATAATTTTCACAATTCAGCATTCATTTATTTTAGTAAAATTGTTAATCGCCTCGAACATTGCAAACCCTGCAATCGCCATTGATGATCACATTGCCGGGGTTCAAAGGAGTGGCTGCACATAAAATAAGGATTCACTTAGTATCGGAAATATATAGTATATATATGTATATAGTACACTTACCGCTGGCCAGAGCCAAAAGGCCGAGAAGAAAGGCAACCGAAAGCAGCTTCATATTGCGAAATGAAATGAGCAACTAATTTGCTGATCGGTGCAAACAGGTCGCTTTTATAGCTCAGAGATGTCCGATTGATTAGCAGCGAATTGCGCACTTTTTCAATTAATTCATGGCATTTTAAATATATAAAGGAATGTGTCATAACTTGATCTGAGTAGCACCAGCAGAGACAGTCCCCTATCCTGTTCTTGATAGCTTTTGAAAGATCTTCAGCTTTGATTTGCATTTGAACTCGAATCAATGAGCATTGATAGGTTTCCGAGAATTATTTCAAATTTTCTATGTACACTGATTTGTAACTCTAATTTAAATACATTCTTTCACAAAAGGTATTGTCACTAAATATATTATCTGTAATCAGATTAGATCTGTAATCTTTGAAACTATTTTCTAGTTTGCTGTTTTAATAATTCAATTTTTCCTATACTTTACACTCTATTAAATGTATTATAATTAACTACTACTATTTCTATATAATACTTGAAATATAAAGTCCTGAAAATTTTTATTCCCACTTTTAATTAAAATTTAATACTATTATAATGTTCTATAAAAGTTATTTTATATATTATACACCCCCGCAACATTTATCTAAAATTTCCAAAAAGTTTTTCCTTCTTTTTAAAAAAAAAAGCAGTAAACTATTTCTAAAAGTTGACTTAGTTTATGCAAAACTTTTCAAAACTCCAACGGGGACTTTTCCAGGCTGAAATTTAACTTGTTCAATGGCATGTGTCTATCCGCAAAAGGTAAATGAACGTGTTTGTGGTCGAATTAACTTTACCACGCAAAAGTTGTTCCGAAAATGTGTGTGTGAGTTTGATTTTGTTTATAAGTAACAGCCGTGCATGTGTGCACTGAAAAAATAAGGATTTATAATCAAGATTTAAGAAGGGAGTGGAAAAATATCCTTGAAATTTAATAGATACTTTGAAGAAGAAGGAAGATGTTTCAATTCAATGTTCAATTCAATTTCAAATGAAGAAAAATCTAACTATGAATTATAATATAATTAGAAACTATAAATTTATTTCTAAAATTATAAGTAAATATTTTATAATACAGTGTATACAAATGTTTTCAAATATAATATTTTCTATTTCCTGGAAAACTTATAATTATAGTCAAAATAATAAATAATTAGAAATAAGATTGAAGTAATTTATTGTGCTAATAAAACTTTGCATGTTATTATATTTTTATTCCAGTTTCAATATTTGCAGATTTGAAAACGAATTTAATTAGGAGAAAATAGTGAAAGACTGGAATTTAAAACCACCAAATTCCAATTTTATTTTGAGGTGGAAAAATTCAATTGGAATTTTGAAATTTGTTGTGGTTTTTTACTTGTTTTTTTGTATAGATTTTTAGGTCAAACTATTTTGACTGCGGTTGGATATTCTCTACAAAAATTATCTATTTTTATAGTTTTGTCAATAAATATTTACCTTTTATTTATTGTTGTTTTTATTAATTGAAATGGAAAATGTCAAACATATATTTTTGCTGTGCATGTGTATGGCGCACATGGCTGGCAATTAAGCCAATGAAGCATTAAAAACACCATCCGAGCGCCATGCAAAATGTGTTTTTTCGGCTGACGAGGGGGGTGGGGCTCGAGGCGCTGTTTTTTTTTGAGGGGTGTGTGGGGTGGCTCGCCAAGAGGGGGCTGGTAAGGTGGGAAAAAGGTGAAGGTGAGTGCCAAAATGGGGGACTGAGGAGAAAAGGGTTTCATCCAGCATCCCACCACATTCACTCCCCTTTACTGGATTAGCGAGTTGGTGTTTTGTGCGCGAGTGCTGCTGCTGCTGCTGCTGCTGATGTTGTTGTTTTCTCCACATTTGTCAACGTAGAGGGCATTACGGATAAATGAACTCCATCCGGATGAGTGTACCGGGCGGCGTTCGTTAAAATGTGTGTGTGTGTGTGTGAGTGTGTGTGCTCCGTTAGACGGACAGTCGACACGTGTGCGTTAACAATTTAATTACGATGCGGTGCGGTGCGGACGGCGACAGCTGCCACATGTCTCTCGAAAAAGTTAATCACCCAGTTGAGAGGGTATTCCGGGTATTAAGGGCGATGGAGGAGGCGGCTTACGGTATTTGTGGCACGATTAAAGCTCCAACCGTCGGGTTGGCTAAATGCCTCCATTTACCTGCCCCCGTTCTGGACTCAAGTGGTGGCTGGGAGCGACATGTCAAAGCTCTCAAGTTGTTATGTTTATGCTCTACTTCAATTAAATAAAACACAAGCTTGGAAGGGGGCCTTAAATGCACCTGTACACATATATATATAAAAGAGAGGTAAAGGAATTGAGCCGGAATTATCATTAAATATAAATAAAACGAGGATAGAGGAGAGACATTTAGACATGACAATACTACATAGCAATAGTTTAAAAAGCGATATGTTGAAGGTGCAATAAAGGTGCAAAACACCAATATTCTTTTTAATATAAACAGAGACAAAAAAATGAAATAAATTATATTTTTGTCCATAATATTGATTATAATGTAAAGATACGATATTTTTCAATGTATATAATTTAAAACATCAAAGTTAACAAAGTTTTCAATATGATATGATGCAGCTAAAAGTATTAATAAAATATATACATAATGATAAATTAATATTTATAATATAATATTATAATATACAATATATATTTATAATATATTATTATAATGTAGAAAATAAAATATAAAAATATAAATTTTTCTGATCGATATACATCACCACTGCGTATACGTGATATTTTCAATGAACAACAAATTAAATACCAGAGTCCTTTTTTTCAAGAACCTTTTTATAAGCTATAATAAACTGTGTCTTAATACCTTTACTTTTTTATTGACTTTACTTTTTCCCTATGCACTTATTATTAATTTATATTTTTATTATTTTATACTTCAGTTTTTTCCTGTGCACTTTCCATATATATTTATGTGTAATTGCCAGCTCCTTCTCCTTCTGCAGACCCATATTATAATGGCTTTCTCGGCAGCTGCGCCTCTATTAGTTTACTGTCAACCTGTGGCGCCAGTGGGGGCGTATTCGGTGAGTGGGCGTGGCAGTGTAGGTGAGTGCAAAAGCAGTGTTCCCGAACATGTGTGCACTCCGTTAGTTGATTGCCTAAGCGTCCGTGCTTGCGGTTACATTCTGTTGATTTCAGTTGCACTTTCCCCCTTCTACCTTATACATATGTATATATATTTTCCCATTTTTTTATTTCTGAGCTGTGGTTAGTTTTATGGCTCTCACCATTTGGTTTTATGATGCAACCAACTGTGTCCTTATTCATAAACTTCAGGTTCTTGTGGGGCTACTTTTTCTGCTGCTGTGGATCACCCATTTTGTTGCATTCAGTCGGGAAGGGAATTAAGTTTTAAATAATAAAGTTTAGTTGGAATTACGAGTAGGACCTTGCTTTTATACGTTTTTAAAACCTTGCTAGAAATTATAGTTTAGGTCAGAAGTCAACGATCGTTTTCAGTAGAGGACAATGCAAATCTGTGAGTGTAAAACTATAAATTTATTATGTATTGGTGAATTTAATGTTATTAAGCAATTTATTGTTGTTTCTTAACATAATTATATATTATATATACATATATTTATATATATTATATATTAAATGTACATATATATTATATATACATATATTTATATATATTATATATTATATGTACATATATATTATATATACATATATAGTTTTAATTATTTATGATCGAATTGCAATTTACAAGTAAACAAACTTCAGCGAGCCAAAGTAATTGTAATAATAAAATATAGTAATGGCAGTAGCTCTCTCTCTCTCTGATTCTCTGTGCCTCCCGCTATCTGTGCCCCTCTCTATGTGCCGCTCGGCATCTGTTGCTCTATGTTAATCGGTATCTCTCTCGCTCCCTGTGTATCTCTAGAGACACATTACTCTCTTTCTCGCTCTCGCTCTCACTTTCTCTGTTCTCTTTCCTCGGGGACTATAAATAGGAGCACAGCCATTGCGCCCGCTTCAGTCAGTGCGCGGCCTCCTCACTGTGTACATCTATGTTGATAGAGGTGGTGATAGTGATAGTGATAGTGATCGACCCCAAAGATATCACCTGGCCGATGCAATACATCTGGTTAACCGGGAAGAAGAAGAAAGCAATTAAGCAATGGCGGTAAGTCTTAACCATGACAATTATATCATGTATAAACATAGATGCTATACGAGTGATCAGGTCTTGGTCTAGAATCAGCTGTGCTAGCTATTAGTTTCTTTTTGTAATAATTTAAAATTTAAAATTTTATAAATAGTAAAGCCCAAAAGCAGAAAAGTTGTTCGATTTAAGATTACTGCATGTTTTGCTTAGTTATGATAGATTTCAAATTCGAATAATGACAATTTAATAATAATACACATTACTTTAAAAATCTTTACATCTCTTCATTTATGTATATTAATTTTCACTATTTTATTATTCATGTTTAATTAAAATATAAACCCTATTCTTCTATGCTGTACTTGTAATGAAGGTAATTACCCAAGGAATCGACTCGAACACAATTGGATTCAGGGCTTCACTCTGTTATCCCTGGGCGTTATCCCCCACAAAGTTTTCCAGCATCAGCAGGGGAGTAACTGACCACTGAAACCCCATCCCAGTTAGAGGTCAGACCCTTCTCCGGTGCCATCAAATGGCAGCATGGCAGTCAACACATTTTGCTTGTGCCGCCACGTGAGCAAAATTGCTAATCAACTGAGGGATGAAGCCCGCACAAGGACATGAGGGACTCTGGGCAGGGACATGGCCTTCCATGTTTGAGTGGTGACCCCAAGTTATTGCGGCCTGCTCTCGGGGAGTGACAACTCATCATTCCGGTGCTGTAGACGACGGCTTTAATGTGTTTAAGCGTTACGAGGATGGACAAACATTATTGTCTCGTGGGAATCGGCAAATCGGCAGGTCTAGGGATTGCCATTCAAGCTGTGGAAGTGACACTTTTGTAAGCCATCCCCCCTCTCAAGTCACTCATTCTACCATTCCCACTAATGGCATCAAGGGTGTTTTGGTGTTTGTTTGTGGGAAATGTGGATAATGGAAAATATATATATGGATGTTTTATATAAATTTAAAGCTAAATGGACGCATCTGTCAAAAATATATAATTTTTAAATCTTACTTATATGGGTTTTAATGTGTCACACTAAATTTCAGTGAAATTTTGCAACTAGTTACTTTAAAGCTAAAGTTATTTACTTTTTATATAAAAAGGAGTGCGAAGAAATCTAAAATCGAGTTTAATGAAATTTAAAAGTATGATACATATTTTTAAATTGAATTTACATTGAACTGAGGTCTAAAAATAATTTATTTACTACTGTTGGTTACCCCTTTTTATTGATTTTATATGATTCCTAAAAACACCCTGTGCTCTTCTATGTAATATATATGTATCTTGTAACTTCAGAAATTTTTCCCTGATTTGTTTCATTTTAAATGTAAAATTTATATATTTGATATATTTATTTTATTAATCCAACATATTACAAAAGTCATACTACAGTTTATATTTGATGCTGCGCAAAATGGGAAACTTTTCGCCGGCACACTGACCGCGTACATCATCCATGGTCAGGTCATGGAAGGCCACGCCACCTAGACCATGAGCTCGAGCAAAGGCAGCCTTATTGGCCGCCGTTGTGGGATCCTCGTAGCCCACCCAGAGGCCGTTCTCCCCCTTGTCATCCGCCGCTCTATAGGCATAGACGCCAAACTTCTTGGTGGGATCACCCACCTTCCGCAAATGCGGCGTCTCTCGATCCTTGGGCTGTTGCTGCAGTAGCTCACATATCTCCGGCCAGCTAAGGATACCGGTTGTAGTGCCCGCCAGTGCTGGACCATCCGCCTCTGGTATGGGTGGATAGCCTGTGATGCCAGAGTTCCTGGTCATAACCCAAGCAAGTCCATAACTGGTCACCCCAATGTTAAGTTTATCGAAATTCCTCTCCGCCGTCGCATTTAGCCAATGCTCGACCTGGTACTGGACATTGTGGCTGGGATCACGTTCATACATGGCTTGCAGAGGGGCTGGAAGATCGGCCACCTTGGGATCTCTTTCCGGGGTCTGAAAGTCATAGGTGGCCAGGTTGACAAAGTCCGCATACATCAGCACAGTTGGGATATCAATGAAGACTGAAGGCAGGAAGTTGGATATAAGAATATAAGGATATATATACAGATTATAGTTATGTTCCTGTACTCACGCTCGGCAGATACATGCGGCAGCATGGTGAGGCTTAGCAGCTTGTCAGCTCGGTGGACATCTGATCTGAGTTCTCCCATTAAAGCCGCAAACTGCTCCTTGTGCTCTGGGGCCTTCTCATCCACCGAGGTGGAACCAAACCAGCCACGGAACTTGCCCCAAGCCCGCTTAAGGATTCCCTGCTGCAACTTGGGCTTGTTTTTGGGAAACTGCCATGCCAGATCGATGCCATCGAATCCGAGTCTATTCAGCTCTGCCATGACACTGGCCCTAAAGTTGCTCCTACGCTCCGGTTGCTCCAACAAATTCAAATACTTGTCAGTATCCGGAACTCCTTCACCGTTTATATCCCGATCCCCGCCCACGGAGAGCAGGAATCGAACATGGGGGAATTTCTTGCGCAAATCGTTGATGTGATTCCCACTGGGTAAATCAAAGGATGTTATTTTAAAATTCTCTGGATCGATTCCCGCATAACCGTAGACCAAAAAGTTGCAGAAATTCAGGGCGGGCTCTAGTTCTGTCAGTGTAATTGGTGCGGGACCTTGGGCAAAAAATAAAAGTAGGCTATTCCATTAGAGATAACCCCCTGATCCATACCTGACATAGAGATTAGGAAAACTCACTTTGTGGCACCAATCTTGGGGTATCGTAGAAGCAGACCAGTTTTCCCACCTCCGCAGAAATTGTGGCCAGGAAACTGCAGAGCAGCAAACCCATAAATGGGGATTTAGTAAAAAACATTATGCTGTCCGTGTGACTATTCAGCTTTAAATTAGATTAACAACTGATCGTTGGCAATCAGTTTTGTTTTTGAAGAGCCAGAGTCAAAGCTTTGCTAGGACAAGCAGGGCAGATAAGAATTTATTGTGTTTACTAATCTTTGTTTTGTGTTTTGAGTCTTTATTGAAACATTATTCCAAAGCTTTAGTGGGTTTTGCTAATCTTTCAATGAAGTTAAGACTTTAAAATTAAGTAAGTATTAGCATACTTTATTCATTATGGAATGGGTCAAGATTCTATCATACTTAAGCAATATACCCAACTTACATAATAAAATTAATGAACTCATCATTATATTCTTATTTGTGTCATTTAAAATGTCCCAAAGGTCCAGAAATTTTTGTTTAACATAACTTAACATATAAACAAAGTTGTTACTTATAATACAAGTCACTCGACAGTCACTTGAAGTATATTATATATATATTTTAAATCCGACTTAGCAAAGGATTATCACCCTCGCAAACTATTGAAGTGATGGAAATCCTTGTTCAAAAATGTAGAGCGGAAGTTAAGCAACGTTTTTCTCACAGCTCCCCATGGGATGGCTTTATTTTTCTGCTTCAACGGAAAATTGGAAAATTTCCGTCGTCGCCTGAAAGAATGCCAGGATGAATTGATACGCCGCCTCCGCCCTAACCCCTGTCCTGCTAAGATGCTGAAAGACCGGAAGGGGAGTGGCAGGAAACAAACCAGCAAAGTGGAAGGCAGTAAAAGCGGAAGAAAGAGAAAAATAAATATAGTAAAGAAAAAGCATCCCACCACGAAGCCAAGTGAAGTGGCGGGCGAAGCGTAAAGCAAAGCAAACTTCTCAAATGCCACTGACACGGCGGGTTGAAAGGGGGCCATGTAGAAGGATATATATATCCTTGGGTGGCAGTAGCCAGGACGTCGAGGTGGGCAGGGTTGGTCCAAAGTAAAAGTTGAAATTAAACCAATTAGTTTGCCTGCCACCATTCCGACGCCATTGCCGTTGCAATGAGGCGCACCAAGCCGGGCGATGAGGCAAGGTAAGACCCAGTGATGGCCACCAAGTCACGATTTCCATTCGTTCCTAAAATCGGATGTAAATATATAAATAAGCTTGGGAAAAACTTATAAATTTAAAGGAAATCTTAGTGTCTTGAATACTTTTTAGTTAGTTAATGAAACCAATAACAAACTTCGAAATAATAAGTTCCTGAAAATCGTTTGAAAAGTATACAGAAATATATCCTATTAATAGGAATATATGTTATTCTAGGTGGAGAAATATAAGTTCTTTTAAATAGTTTTTAAGTGTTTTTAATATATTTATAATAATTTCATTATTCTTTTAGATGGCTACTTCGACAGTAGTAGAAAAGCAAACAAACTGTTGAAATAATGATCTATTTAAAACAAATCAAGATGAATAGAACACTTATATTAAAAGATATAAATAGATATATATTAAGATATTATTTTCGTGCTTTTGCGTGACTCACGACGGCATCCTTGCCAGGACTCTAGCTTTTTTGTGGGGTGGTTGAAAAACGGACTTACTCCCGGCAGGTATTTAGACGAGCCTGGGCTCCTTTTTAAGAGTATTTTAAACGACGGCGTGGCCCTTTTGGGGCCCAGACGATGGAGTGGGGCGCCAAGTGCTGATAAGAGGTGAACTCCGGTGGAGTCAGGGGGCAGGAGCGGTGCTGCTTCGGCGGATGGCGCCGTCATAAATTAATTATGATTTAACAACTTTAGCATGCACGACACGGCACAGGAAAACTTTGCGCTTTTCACTACCTTCCCTTCGCACTCCGCGCCACTTGTCTGCCTCTATTTTGTGTCGCTTTGTAGAGGGGAAAATTTTATAATTTTAATGAGCGCAAAAAAGTTGTAAACTTTTGCCTGCGTTGCCATTGGAAATGCACTCCACCTTGCCTCGGGGTTGGGGCGAACTTTATTCCCATAAAATATATATAAATATATATATATATATATAGACGAAGAAGGGCAATTCGGGGAATCTGTTGAAGCCGTAAGCGGGCAGGTGCTCAGTTCCTAGAACTCTCTTAAAAGGACGAAATTCTGTAGTTCTGCAATTGGATAAATTATTTCGTTTTTTTTTTTTGGATTTATGGGTTCCTTCACTGAATTTAGAACAATAAATTTTTACAGATATACAGATTATGATCTTATTAATAGGCTACCTTCTATGAGTAGTTCAGTTTAACTATGCGGAATGCACAGGAAAATGTTGCTAGGCAAATGGATTAGAAACATGTTAAATATGAATGGATATATGCAGCAACTTTGTTACTTAATAAGAAACATTTATATTATGATAGCTCAACGGGAGATGCTGTTAAAAAATAAATATACATAATTATATCAAGAGGAATAGTCCGAAAGAAGGAAATAATGAATGCTCCTTTGTCACTGAAGATCTGGTGCATTTGGTTGGAAATTGATGTAGTTTTATATAAGAACTAAAAACGTAAATTCCTCATTAACAGAGTAGTAGTGTACATTTAAAAATATAATATTTATTAGGTAAATAAAGTTGAAATTATATGATTAGGAAACTTAATCTAATTTATAGCCCCTAAAAGAATGCAAGACGGCCTTCTATTTATCGATGGCCCATTCAATATTTAAATCCATTCCGAAATTCTTATTTCGTTTATGTATTTAAATATTTTGAAAGTTTCTACCAGGGTTTTTTGTTATTTTGCTTTAACTTTTTGGTTTTAAAAAAGCAAATTGAAGACGTAGACATTAGCGAAAGTCACGCAAATCAATCATGCCAGACTTGAACTCATTGTTTCTTTGGAAGGCAGGTATTTCACCAGTTTGTATATAAAAAATGCATGTACATGTGTGTTTTGGGAAAAGGTCATACTTTAATATCAATAAAAACTTGATCATTTTTCTCAATTATTAACATTCTCTATAAAGGACCCTCGGTTACTGTTTTCCCGCACCGCTCTTGATGTCCTCGAAGGCCTTCTGCCACAGCTTGTCGAACTGCTTGGGCAGCTTCGCACGGATTCGGTCAGCCAGCTCCCGGGCTCCTCTTAGGTTGTCCTCCTCGTAGAAGGGCTGGGCCGACAGTCGGGCCAGCCAAGCGGATAGCTTGGGATACTTGGAGCCATCCACGGGACAGTAGCTCAGGTGCAAAGTGCTTACCGTGGCCACAATGCTAAAGTCGGCAATGGTCAGACGTGGACCAGCCAGGTATGGATTCTCGGCCAGAAATTGCTCCAGCAGGGCATAGGCATCACGCAACTCAGCCAGTCGATCCTTGGACACCTCTGTGGCACCCTCCTTGAACAGTGCCCTTTGCAGCTGCTTGAAGATGCCATGGAAAAGGACACCGGTCTCAAAGTGCAGCCGCTGATCCACCACAGCCCTCTGCAGCGGATCCCTGGGATAGAGCTCGTCCGATGTGGCATACTTGTTCACCAGATACCCAATGATGGCATGCGAGTCCCAGATGCAGGCCTCACCATCCTCCAGCATGGGCACCGTGTGCTGGGGATTCTTGCGCAGCATTTCCGGCTCCAAGTGCTCACCGGTCTGCATGTCCAGCGGCCGGAACTCGTGCTCCAGCTGGAGGGCTCGCAGGGTGAGCAAAACTGCCCGGACCGGGGGACTGCTCTCGGTGCCATATAGGATTGGGATCACCATTTGAAAACTTTTGTTGCTTCTGTGAGATTCGGGACAAGACTAAGGCAGAAGCACCCACGACTGCTGTCAGCCACTAAAAACAGATTTCATACTTCACGCCAGATAAGATTAGATACTAGCTTGGCTTCTTGATTACTATCACAAAGACGTCATAATGCTGCAAGTTTAAGTTTTGTCTGATTGTTTATTAATGCCGGCGATAAGTCGGTCCCTGGTCCCCTCTCGCCGCCACTTAACTCTGGGTATCTATAGCTTCGTCAATATTTGATTAGCGTCGTCGGTGATTTATATGTCCATCCATGGGTGGAGGCTAAAGGGAGTTACTTCTTTTTATTAAATGTACACTACAAAGGAAACACAAATTTACAATACCATTTAAAATATTTATTATTAACAATATAACATAGGTTGTTTCATACGAAGATAATGACAGGCATGCCTGAATCGACTCGCCTGGTCAGGAGACGCTTAGTTATAATACCTGGAATACCCTGTAACTATCAAGTACTAACGCTATAGGTGATTTCAAAGCTTCCTAGGAACATCTACCTTATTTGAAACAAAATAATGAAAAAACCCAAAAGTAATTATAATTTCAGTATTTCATATAAATTTATTATTATACTCTTAAAAAAATTGTAAATGAATGAAATAACTGAACATGTGAATGACGCGAGTTATGGGAGTTATGGCCTCAGTGAAGGATTCACTTGTCACCCAGCTTGGTCCACTGGCTGCGAAGGAAGGCGACATAGCCCTGGACAGCCGCCTCATTGATGTCCTTGTAGTAGGCAATCTCATTGAGACGATTCAGCCAGGCGGAGACCTTGGGATAAACGCTGGCTTCGATATCCACAGCAGCTCGCAGGGCACTGACAGTGGGACCGGTGCACAGATCGGCGATGGTGAGGGTGTCTCCAACCAGGTATTTCCCATTGCTCAGGAAGGTCTCCAGATGGGCTAGGCCACGATGGATGGTGTCCAGTTGCTCCTGGGCAACTTCAGTCTTCCCATGTGCGAAGAAGGGACCAGTCACTCCGGCTAGGCCGGCGTAGATAACGCTGGCATCGAAATACAAGCGCTGGTCGATGATGGCCCTCTTGGCCAGATCCTTGGGATACAGCTCATCCGACTTGCCGTACTTGTCCACCAAGTAGGTGGCGATGGCATGGGAGTCCCACAGGTAGGTGCCATTGTCATCCAACGTGGGCACCGTGTGCTGTGGGTTCATCTTCAGGTACGCCTCCTGGAGGTGCTCGCCCTTCTGCAGGTTGACCTCCTTGAATTCGTACTTCAGGTTGAGGGCCTTCAGGACGAGCTTGACGGATCTCACACAGGGACTCAGGTCCACGCCGTACAATACGATGCCAGAGCTAGACATTTTGAAGTTTTGTGAAGTGTTAAAGAAACGATTCTATAACGACTGATCCGTCCGGGAATGATTATATACTGTTTTGCCGGGAGCTTTTCCAGAAAGAGAAACAAATATTAAAGCTTTGAAATAATGCTTGTAATGCTGGCTGCCAAAAATTCTCCTAAGCCTAAAATATAAACTCTATATCAATGTTTCCAATATGTTTAATTTCATCATTGAATTAGTTCTGGAACATCCTAAGTATAGTTTATTTTTGTGGGTTGTGAAATGGGAAAGCTGATAAATTGAGGTAGGAAGACATATGTTTGTTTCAATCGAACTGCAAATCATGCTGAAAGTGTCTTAGCAAATAATATAGTGTTTTTACTTGTATGGTTAATTGGTTACATTTATTGTTAAGATAGTATGGGTAGAAAACGCATTTAATATGTGAATGTGTTTTACGTTATAAAATCTGTTAGTTTTGTGGAAATATTGTAATTGTTGTACTTGTTTTTACAATCAAGTGGAACACATTTATGCAGATACTTCTTTGAGTAGCTTGAATGTTATTATTTAGACTCTAAACAGTTTTTCCAACTAATTGTTTAAATTAAGCTAAATTTTTACCACAGTTTCTCGTTGTTCTTTTATTTTTGAATTATTAACATCATAAACAGCCGAGTCAATATATTCATCGTTAAAATTGTCCAAAAACTAAAGACCTATTAATAAATGTGCAATACAACGTATACACAAATTTACAATACCATTTAAGAATATTAAATAATAGTTGTTAAAATACTATTCTACTTTTCCTAAAATTTTTATATTTTATTGAAGTAAACAAATAGAAAAAGCTTTTAACTATAGCTTTTGTTTAATTATTTAATACTCTCAGCATGACTTGCAGTTCGGTTGGAACAAACATTTGACAATTTATCAGCTCTCCCATTTCACAACAGAGAACTTATTCAATGATGAACAAATAGAAAATATTATATATGTAGATTCTATACTATAGACATAGGAGAGCCAGCATTACAAGCATTATTTCAAAGCTTTAATATTTGTTGTTCTCTCTCTGGAAAAGCTCCCGGCAAAACAGTATATAGTCATTGCCGGACGGATCAGTCGTTATAGAATCGTTTCTTTAACACTTCACAAAACTTCAAAATGTCTAGCTCTGGCATCGTATTGTACGGCGTGGACCTGAGTCCCTGTGTGAGATCCGTCAAGCTCGTCCTGAAGGCCCTCAACCTGAAGTACGAATTCAAGGAGGTCAACCTGCAGAAGGGGGAGCATCTCCAGGAGGCGTACCTGAAGATGAACCCACAGCACACGGTGCCCACGTTGGATGACAATGGCACCTACCTGTGGGACTCCCATGCCATCGCCACCTACTTGGTGGACAAGTACGGCAAGTCGGATGAGCTGTATCCCAAGGATCTGGCCAAGAGGGCCATCATCGACCAGCGCTTGTATTTCGATGCCAGCGTTATCTACGCCGGCCTAGCCGGAGTGACTGGTCCCTTCTTCGCACATGGGAAGACTGAAGTTGCCCAGGAGCAACTGGACACCATCCATCGTGGCCTAGCCCATCTGGAGACATTCCTGAGCAATGGTAAATACCTGGTTGGAGATACCCTCACCATCGCCGATCTGTGCACCGGTCCCACTGTCAGTGCCCTGCGAGCTGCTGTGGATATCGAAGCCAGCGTTTATCCCAAGGTCTCCGCCTGGCTGAATCGTCTCAATGAGATTGCCTACTACAAGGACATCAATGAGGCGGCTGTCCAGGGCTATGTCGCCTTCCTTCGCAGCCAGTGGACCAAGCTGGGTGACAAGTGAATCCTTCACTGAGGCCATAACTGCCATAACTCGCGTCATTCACATGTTCAGTAATTTCATTCATTTCCGATATTTTTAAGGGCTTATCATTAAATAAATTTAAATGAAATACTGAAATTATAATTAAGTGTTTTCATTATTTGTTTGAGATTAGGTACTAAATTGTACTGATGAGACTTTGAAGTCAAGTGTTGTTATTTGTAAGTACTTGATTATTACAGGGTATTCTAGGTATTATAGCTTGGTGCCTTCTGTTAATGAATTTAATAAGAAATAGGGTTATTATATTATTGATCACCAGGCGAGTCAATTTAGTAATGCCTGCCAGTCTCGTCGTATGAAACAAAATTTAATCAAATAGTGCCTTCCATTACAAAATTAATAAGAAAATGCATATTTGGATTCTACATTATTAAAGTGTAAATTCAACGGACGTAAGCGAGTCAGCACTGCAAACAAACACAAAAAGAAAAAACAAACACTCAATCAAGCTCAAGCTTTTTTACATTTCAAGTCACTTGCTCACGCGCTCTGCGAAAAGCTAATGCCCATGTATAGGGCTATATATAATTCGAAGAGTTCAGTCGTAAGAGAAACGTTGCTATAAACACTACACATAATGTCGAGCACGGGTATCGTATTGTACGGCGCGGACCTGAGTCCCTGTGTGAGGACCGTGAGGCTGGTCCTCAAGGTCCTCAACCTGGACTATGAATTCAAGGAGGTCAATCTGCAGAAGGGCGAGCATTTGACCGAGGATTACCTGAAGATGAACCCCCAGCACACGGTGCCAACGCTGGAAGACAATGGCATCTATCTCTGGGACTCGCATGCCATCGCCACCTACTTGGTGGACAAGTACGGCAAGTCGGATGAGCTGTATCCCAAGGATCTGGTCAAGAGGGCCATCGTTGACCAGCGCCTTTACTTCGATGCCGGTGTCATCTTCGCCAGCGTAGCCAGCGTGAGCAAGATGTTCTGGATCGATGGTATCACGGTGGTTCCTCAAGAGAAGTTGGACACCATTCATCGGGGTCTTCAGATGCTGGAGACTTTCCTAGGCAGCGGAAAGTACCTGGTGGGTGACTCTCTGACCCTGGCCGACTTGTGCACCGGACCCACCGTCAGCGCCGTGCCCGCTATGGTGGACATCGATGCCAAGGTGTATCCCAAGATCACCGCCTGGTTGGAACGCCTCAATGAGATCCCCTACTACAAGGAGATCAACGAGGCACCGGCCCAGGGCTATGTCAGCTTCCTTCGTAGCCAGTGGACTAAGCTGGGGGATCAGTAATTGAAGAATAAATCATATATATTCATAATTTATTCATATGTGTGTCACTTTAAATATTTACTTATTTAAAACACAAATTATTTAATTAATAAATACACGAATACAAGAAATTAAAGGCTCGGAAACATCTCCCTTATTGAGTTGCAGTAAATTTAAAATACCAGTTTTTTGGTGCTTGTTTTTCCTGGTGAAATATGTATATAAACCAAAATCTAATGATGACAAACAAAATAAACTCAAAAGCTTTCGTTATACACATTATGTCAGCATATTTCTACCCTCGAGTTGAAGCTTTCGGCAAACAAAATGTGTACAAATTGCCGGAAAGATCAGTCTATATTGAAGCGTTGCCGCAAACACTATTCCGAAATGTCGAGCACGGGTATCGTATTGTACGGCGTTGACATGAGTCCCTGTGTACGGGCCGTGAAACTGACCCTCAAGGCTCTGAACTTGGAGTACGAGTACAAGGAGATGAATCTGCAGAAGGACGAGCATCTGACCGAGGAGTTCCTCAAGAAGAATCCACAGCACACGGTGCCAGTGCTGGAAGACAATGGAACTGCCATCTGGGACTCGCATGCCATTGCCACCTATTTGGTGGACAAGTATGCCAAGTCGGACGAGCTGTATCCCAAGGATCTAATCAAGAGGGCCAATGTCAACCAACGCCTTTACTTCGATGCCAGTGTCATCTATGCCTCATTGGTCAACCTAGTTGCTCCCTTCTGGTTGAAAGGCGTTACTGAATTACCGCAGGAGAAACTGGACAGCGCCCATCGGGGTCTCAACTTGCTGGAGACTTTCCTGAGCAGCGGCACCTACTTGGTGGGTGATACCCTAACCCTGGCCGATTTGGTCACCGGACCCACTGTCAGTGCTTTGCAGGCAGTTGTGGATATCGAACCCACTGTATATCCCAAGGTCACCGCCTGGATGGAACGCCTCAATGAGATTGCCTACTACAAGGACATCAACGAGGCTCCAGCTCAGGGATATATCAGCTTCCTTCGTAGCCAGTGGACCAAAGTGGGGGATCAGTGAATCGAGCAACCAAAGACAATTCCAATTAAAACGTATTAACAATAAAATATAAATATTTTTATATCGAATTAACTTTCAATTAACTTTACTTTTATATCTGACTTTTCTTAACAACCTAAAATGGTGATTTTGTTGCCTAAAAAATCTCTCTGATAAAAGAACAGCAATTTAAATCCTACTATTTTTGCAATTATGTTGAAAAATACTTGCTAGCTTTCAGATTTTGCTGGCAGTGTAAAGAATCCATGCCAGCAGCCAGCCACAACAAATTGCTTATTTATTTAATTTTATTTAAAGTGAATCTGCCATCTACAGTCGACTGTAGTTTAGGTTTCCATAGAACTTGCTGCCTGTTTGTGCTTAGATCAAATGTCAGGTATCATGTTCTATGGGCTACACATAAGTCCGCCAGTCAGGGTGTGTCAACTGACCTTGGGAGCCCTTGACTTGGGTCACAAATACAGGGTGGTGAATCTCCTACACAGAGGAGCACTGGATGACAATAAAGATCTCATCTGGTGGATAAGTACTCCAAATGGGATAATCTGTATTCCAGAGATTTGATGCTTAGAGTTCGGGTGGAACAGAATCTGTACTTCGAGGCTAGTGTCCTGGTAATGCCTAGTATTTTATTATATTTGATTCACCAGGTGAGCATGGTACCCATCTGGAGAGGTTTCTCTTTTGAAAAATCCCTACATTATGGACTCTAGCCTCATCTCAGACTGATCTCTGCTAGAGCTACTGCCTCCGCTTTGGAAGCTGTCCTGGAACTGGAGACGGAGCAGTAAACCAAGGTCAGGGGCTGGCTAAATCGAGGTAACAAGAAGAAGGAGCCTCAGGGTATTGATTCTAAAGAATTGATATAAGTTATGGAATGTTTATTAAAATTGTAGTTCAGCAAGCTTTTCGAGTATTTAAATTCCAGTTTATTATTATTATTTGTATATATTTAAGTATATATAATATTAATGCTGGGAAGATGCTGATCTATTTTTAGAAGAGAGCCAGAGTCAAGCTTAGATAAATCTAACATAGCTTTAAATTCAGAGAGCATTGAAGAATTGCTTAACTGTTGTTTATATTATATTTTCTCTTATCTCGGACCGATTCAGAGGCCTACAGAAATATATGTACCCAATTGTATTTGTTTGCTCTACACATATTTAATGCTGATTCATTGTTAGGTAGCATTTTAGGTCTTATCGTTTGATAAACAAATATGTAATTAGCCTCGGGGGCCAAGAGTTTGCACTAAAAAAATATTCCAATCAAAGAGCTTTTATCGCCCTAGCGCTCTTACGTCAAGAGAGAGTACAAATTTCGTAATATATAGCCTCTCTCTATATACATAGGTAATCAGTGGGTTGACCGATAAACACGACATCGAAGAGATATAGTGTGTGGGGACAAACTGCGTTGTCATCACAGCACGGCAAAGCTCTCTTAAATGAAGAGAAATCCCCATCGTTTGTGGGGTATATAAACCATTGGGTTCAGGGGATATAGCAACATTTAGCAGCAAACCTTTGAAACAGCAACGATATGGGAAAAGTTACGCTTTACGGAATCGATGGCAGCCCACCAGTTCGATCGGTGCTCCTCACCTTGAACGCCTTGGGACTGGACTTTGACTACAAGATTGTCAACCTGCCGGCCAAGGAGCAACTGAAGCCGGAGTTCCTCAAGATGAACCCGCTGCACACCGTGCCCACGCTGGATGACAATGGCTTCTATCTGTACGACAGCCATGCCATCAACTCGTACCTGGTGAGCAAGTACGGCAAGGACGACTCCCTGTACCCCAAGGATCTGCAGAAGCGAGCCATTGTCGACCAGCGTCTGCACTACGATTCCAGCGTGGTCACATCCACCGGCAGAGCCATCACTCACCCGCTCTTCTGGGAGAACAACTCCCAGATCCCCCAGGCCAGGATCGATGCTCTGGAGGGTGTGTACAAGAACCTTAACTTGTTCCTGGAGAGCGGCGATTATCTGGCCGGTGATAATCTGACCATTGCCGACTTCCATGTCACTGCCGCCATGACCGGCTTTGTGGTGTTCCTGCCCGTGGATGCCAGCAAGTATCCCAAGCTCGCTGCCTGGGTGCAGCGCATCAAGGAGCTGCCCTACTACGAGAAGGCCAACGGTACTCCGGCATCGCAGATCATTGACTTCATCAAGAGCAAGAACTTCACCATTGTCTAAGAGACAGCAGTATATAAATATACTCTTAGGGCTATACTGAAATAAATAAATTATTGAAAATATTTAAAGAAACACTTTACTTATGAACGGCTATTATCAGTTCAAACATTGTTTTCGAAAAAGAATGATAAGAGGAATTGTTTTCCCATTATGACAGGTGATTTGCTTGGCCCACCTTATCAAAGTCGAGCTTATCAAAATACTGACTAAGTTTGTATCAGTCTCAACTTGTTCGAAGGTAGTGAAAAGGAACAAATAATTCTTGTCATATTTTCCTATATTTAATCTTTAATTTTCCAATTTGAAGTATTACAAACATTAAAACTCAACATAAATACTTGTTTATAAGAATATATTGCTTGTTGAGAGCAAATATCAGTGAGGTTAAATTGACTATATACTCCAAGTCAATAAAAATTGATTTTTATATAGGTTTCATTGATATATAGGTGATGTATGTCTAGGTCTGTATACATACCTTCAAGTTTTAGTATAATGAGTCGTTAGTCAATTAACTTATTGCCATAGACTTTTCCCATAAAAAGCCATATTTATATGATTTGTAATGAAGATAATAGGTATAGGTAGGAGCCAACTTTAACTGTAATTTTTAATTAACTGAAAGAAAGAGCACCTAAGAGGATATATTTTCATGTGGCTGAAATTAAAGACTCTTAAATCTTTATTTGCGGGTCTTTTATAATATTTATTTACTATTTTATACAGTTTAACCTTTTAGCTAAAAGATACATATTATTGAAAGAGCCTTATGACTAATATGTCAAAGGTGGTTTAATCGATATAATGGTTACTTTGGCTATTTTGGTCGCATTAATGATACCTGGACGTTAAAACAAAAACATATAATTACCTGTTGGAAATTTCTCGAAGAGCAGGGGTAAGAGCTTTTTGGAACGCCACATCATTAAAGCTCTCTTACGTCAATGTGTGTTCGGTTGTTCCAAGAGTACTGGCCATTTGGACTGATGTCATCCACACCGACCTAATGCCGAGTCATCACAGCTCTGCGAAGTTCTCTTAAGTTAAGAGAGCTCCACGGGTATAAAAGCCACAGAGTGTTTTGGTCAACACATCGAGCAACAAACTAAGCAACTACTAACTAACGGCAGGAAAATCGAACCACATCCAGGAAAATGGGTAAACCCACTCTTTATGGAATCGATGGCAGTCCACCAGTTCGCTCTGTGCTCCTCACCTTGAAGGCCCTGGGCCTGGACTTTGACTACAAGATTGTCAATTTGATGGCCGGGGAGCACCTGAAGCCGGAATACCTGAAGATTAATCCTCTGCACACAGTTCCCACCCTGGAGGACAATGGTTTCTACATCAACGATAGTCATGCCATCAATGCCTACCTCGTGAGCAAATATGGCAAGGACGATTCGCTGTATCCCAAGGATCTGCAGCAGCGGGCCATTGTGGATCAGCGTTTGCACTACGACTCCAATGTGCTGGTCGGCACGGGAAGAGCTCTCATCACGCCGCTTAGGGAGGGCAAGTCCGAGATTCCCAGGGCCAAATTCGATGCTCTGGAAGAGGCCTATAAGACACTCAACTTGTTCTTGGAGACCAACGATTTTGTGGCTGGTAAAAATCTAACCATCGCTGACTTTCACATCATTGCTGGATTGTCTACTACCATGCTTATGCATGATGTGGACGCCAGCAAGTTTCCCAAGCTGGCCAGTTGGGTCCAACGTATCAGGCAGTTGCCCTACTACGAGGAGGCCAACGGATCCCAAAGGATGTCCATGATTGTCAACTTTATCAAGAGCAAAAAATTCACTATTGTTTAGATCTCATAATTTAAAGACTACATTAAATTATTTTTCAGTTTTTAAAATCTTTTGAGTTTGGATTTTTAATATTTGTTACAGTAAAGGTGGGGAAATGTTGTTGGGAAAATTATAGAAACCTGATAATTAGTTTCTTTAGTTCTCTAATCATACATTGTAACTAATTTAATAGTTCAAGCTATTTAGAATCAACAAGAAAACCCCGCCCTAACGTCTGAGAATCAACCCCCGTACTCCCGAATAGTTCTTTTTGTGAAAAAGTATTTCATCAGTGAAAGCTTTGGGGAATAGGAAAGTGCTTTAGTCTGGAGCCCCACCCAGGATCATCTTACAGATTCTTTGTAAGCCATGTGGAAAGCTCCGGACTGTGCTTACTCCACAAGCCCTCAAAATGTATAAATAGCTCGCTAAGCCTTCGAGTCAATATCACATCGGTTGCCTTACAGTTCGAGATTGGATCATGTCAGGCATAGTGCTATACGGCCTGAACATCAGTCCCCCAGTCAGAGCTTGCCAGTTGACGCTGCGAGCCTTGGAACTGGAGTATGAGTTCAAGGAAGTGAATCCCCTGGCCGGAGAGCATCTGACCGAGGAGTTCCTGAAGAAGAATCCCCAGCACACCATACCGCTTCTCGACGACGGAGGAGACCTGGTCTGGGACTCACATGCCATTGCGTGCTATCTGGTGGATAAGTATGCCCAGTCGGACGAGCTGTATCCCAAGGATCTAGTGAAGCGCTCCCAGGTGAATCAGCGCCTATATTTCGATGCCAGTGTCCTGTTCATGGCCCTGCGCAACATCTGTGTTCCGTACTTTTACAACAACGTCACGGAAATACCCCGGGAGAAGGCCGACAATATACGCGATGGTTATGGTCACCTGGAGACCTTTTTGGGTGAGAATCCGTATGTCAACGGTGATACCCTGACTGTGGCTGATTTCTGCTGTGCGGCCACAGTCTCCACGCTGCCAGCCTTTGTGGAACTCGATGCTGAGAAGTATCCCAAGGTCACTGCCTGGCTGAAACGCCTCCAGGAGCTGCCCTATTACGAGGAGGCCAACGGGGTGGGGGCCACCGAGTACGTGGAACTGCTGAAGGGCCAGTTGACCCTTCTGTAAGCAGTCCTCTTTCCCACAATTACCCAGTGTTGAGGACATGCATTTTTAATCGCAGCTAATTAAATGAAAGTAGTTGACAAATCCTTCTCATTGTCCACACTGGAAGAGATGCATTGAAAAAAATTACTATGACGGGAAAAATAGACACAATAAATGTAAAACCCGAGTTAAAAAAAAAATTAACTGAATAAAACAGAATGTAAAATGTATATTTATCTTGAAACCTTTTTTATATAAAATCAGTCGGGAAATTAAATCTTAAAGAAAATAGAATATTCTTTAAGCTTTTAAAAAATCCAGTAAGAAATTAAAATATTATTTATATTTTTCTTGTAATTATAATTACTTCAAATTATTGCCAAGCCGCAGTGTAAATAATTAATTTGCAAATAATTTTTACTGCTTGCGTGGCTTTAAGGGAGCACGTATGTACATACTAGCAATTGGTAGGTATGGGTGGGTGGATTCAATTAAAAAACCATCACCAAGCTGACGGTTCCCATGCCCCCTGGCTGGTATAAATCCCTTGAACAGACGTCCAAGTCACTCACTTGAGAAACCGCTGAAGAATGGGTAAGATCTCGCTGTATGGCCTGGATGCCAGTCCGCCCACCAGGGCTTGCTTGCTCACCCTGAAGGCCCTGGAGCTGCCCTACGAGTACCTGTTCGTCAATCTGTTCGAGAAGGAAAACTACGGCCAGGAGTACTCGATGAAAAATCCGCAGCACACGGTGCCACTGTTGCAGGACGACGATGCCTACATCTGGGATTCGCATGCCATTATGGCCTATCTGGTAGAGAAGTATGCGTCCAGCGACGATCTGTATCCCAAGGATCTGCTCCAGAGAGCCAAAGTTGATCAGTTGATGCATTTCGAGTCGGGTGTGGTTTTCGAAGCCGCTCTAAGGAGACTTACGCGTCCGGTGCTCTTCAACGGCGAAGCCACATTACCCCAAAAGCAGGTTGATCACGTTACTCAGGTCTACGACTTTGTGGAGGCTTTCCTGGAGCATGATTACCTGGCCGGTGACCAACTGACTATAGCCGACTTCAGCCTGGTCTCAACCATCACCTCGATTGGAGTTTTTCTGGAGCTGGATCTGGCCAAGTATCCGAAGATAGCCGCCTGGTTGGAACGACTCAAGGAGCTGCCCTACTACGAGGAGGCCAACGGCAAGGGAGCCGCCCAATTTGTGGAGCTCTTGAGATCTAAGAACTTTACAGTTGTTCCGTGAAATATAACTAAATGAAAAAAGTTATCATTATTATTTTTATTTATTGGATACCTCGAAATCCACAAAACATTAACGAATTTATAAAGAAAACTTTAAAGTAGAGCCATTATTTCCCAAATGTCACAATATTTCTAGCTGAGTTTTTAATAAATTGGCAAAAGCACTCCCTTATATTGAACATTTTTTGCCTGCTTTTGAGCCAGAAGTAAGTATCTGCATAATATGAATAGATAAGGAATAATCTGCTTCATTTCTAGCTGTCAGACCTGTTCAGCTTCTTCTAAATGATAAAACTAACGTAGTAGTCTTTTCGAAGTGTACGTCGGTAGCCTCAAAATTATGCAAAATTACGTTCCAAAGTTTATTTTTTGTTTTTGAAATAAAATAAACCAATGTACAATTACTTAACGATACATAAACCTGAAAATATTATGATAGCTTATGGGTCCTGCGATGTCTGGACAATGAAGAGTGATCATAGAACGAAGCGTCGCATTGATCACACTTTTTATCACGAATGTTCAAATGTCCCTTGATGTGGTTGTTTAGTTCGAACTTTTTGCGGAAACTCTTGTTGCACAACTCGCAGTGGAAGGGCCTCAGGTTCAAATGGTAGCCGTTGATGTGATGGTCAAGGAGTAATTTTAGCCGGAAATGCTTGCCACAAATGCTGCAAGTGTGCGGCTTCTCGCCCGTATGGATGAGCGTGTGAACTCTCAGGTCGTTTTCGACGGCAAAGGCCTTGTCGCAGAACTTGCACTTGAGCTTTCGTTCAAAGTGTGAGCGCAGCTTGTGGCGCTCCATGTCCACCTGCCGGTCAAAGCGCCGCGGACAGAGGGAGCACAGGTAGGGCAACTCGCCCACGGCGTGAGCCTTGAACATGTGCACCAGCAGGTTGTAATCGCCGTGAAAGCGCTTATCGCAATGCTCACAGAAGAGAACCGTACTCTCCGAGCCCTTGGAGGGAAGGAAGTTGCACATTTGGAGGTACTCCACCTCCTGACGAGTGCACTTCTGGATCAGTTCCTTAGACTTTAGTCGACGCATGGCATCGTAAACCCAGCGCCGCAGCCTATTGACGGCAATATATATCTCTGTTTCATTTACCTTTGCCACTGGTAGAAATTCTAGAGCCATCTGCCTGTAGGCCTCTGCCCTCGTTTCCACGAAACCGAATTCTGGACTCGAGGGGTTGTACAGCTGCGGATAGTTGGCATAAGTCTCTATAAATGCGGTAGTCATCACGTTTTCCCTCTTGAAGTTGAGCTGAAACACGTGAAAACCATTGAAAGGGTAGCTTGAAAGGAAAAGACAGATATTACCTTAATTACATTTAAATCGTTGTTCTCTACTTCCTCCTTTGGTAGAACTTTTGGTGAGACGGCAAGGTACTCGCTTTTGGCCATGTAGCGGGCTGCCAGTCCAACCAACTTCCCATTCTCCTTCGCCTGACAAGCCATCGTGTACTGTATGTGGAGATCCTGGATGGTTTTCTTTAGCTGGTCTACGGTGAAGAGCACATTGGCCCGGCTGTTCATGTATTTCATGATAGTTTCGTAGGCCTTGGAACGCACAGTTGCGTTGTTGTAATGCTCATCTGATGGATTCCACAGGCAAGGATGATCCTTGTACGCTTGTATTAGGTGCAATACCCGTGGATTGCTTCGAATAAAGGATACCTTGAACTACAAAACAAATTCGATTACGATCTTCAGTAAAAACGCGTTGGCTTACCTTAAAAACCTGACCGGGTCTTTTTCGTATCGGCGGTCGACCTGGCCTTTTGGGGATATCTACCAGCTCGTTGCCGGACAATGATGAATCACTAGCATAAATAATCATTTCATCTTGATGTTGAACATTCTTAGGAGAGAGGGTTGAGGCAGTATCGTTAACTGCCTCTGGTGTATCGGGTTTGACTTTATCCTGGGAATCGTTTGAAGCATCTGGCCAATTGAAGTTATCACTCATATTTTCAAACTCCTGTAGATCATATGTATATAGAAATGTTTCCATGCCTGTGACCTAGGTCTTACCGGTTTCTGGTCATCTGTTACCATCCACTGGTCCTCGCCCACCTCCTCAACGGTCTCGATTACATCGAACAGCTCGTCCGGTTCATAGACGATGGCCTGATCCTCGGAATCAGAGGGAAAGCAGAAGTCTTGCGAGACACTGAAAGCGTCTTTGCCGTCGCCATCGCCGTTGGCGTCGACGGTGCCATTGCAGTCATCCTCCTCCTCGCAGAAATGGGCCGTCTGCACATGAATGATAAACGCCTCCCAGTCCTTCAGCTCGCTCTCTATTGTACAGTATAGGCATTTCAGTCGGAACTGCTTGTAGCTGGAGTTGGTCAATACGCTGCCGCACACCTCCATGCTGTACGGCCACAAATAAATTAATTTTTCTTTGCAAAAACAATGTGTGCTGGATTCTTGTTATTATTCCTAATTCTGAAATTGTACAGCACTGGAGTTTGGCACGACCTTTTACGTTATGCAACACTGAGCGCGATGTGTTAGTCAACGGACAACAACAACGAAAGTTATCGATTTCAAACGTCTGTTTTAAAGCCATATTTGTTTTTATTTTTATGTTTTGTTAAATAATTATATAAAACTATTCTTATCTAACGTTTTTTAGTTCTCAGCATCATCAGCTTCTGCGTCCTTCTGCTGTTTTTTGCGTACAATATTGTGGGTCCGCTTCATATGCGAGTTTAGGCCCACAAATTGCGAGAATCTAGAGTCGCACAGTTTGCAGACGAACTTCTTCACCTCGGAATGGATTTGGCGGTGCCGGATGAGGGAGTGGCAGCTGGTGAATCCCTTGCCACACACTGTGCATATCTTGTCGCGAATGTTCAGGTGGCCTTTCATGTGGTCAGACCAATCGACCTTCTTCACGAAATCCTTTGGACACATGGTGCACTTGAAGGCCCGAATCTTGGTGTGAATGGCCGTGACGTGGAGCTTCATCTGTGACCCAAGCCGAAAGGCCTTGCCGCAGTGCTCGCACACGTAGGGCTTGTGTCCTGTGTGGGTCCGAATATGGAGTTGTAAGTCCGAGACCACGGCAAAAAAACGCTCGCAGTGGTTGCACTTGTGCGTCTTCCCAATGTGAAACCGCTGCATGTGATTCGAAAGCTCAACGCGGGCCATAAAACTTCGGTCACAGAGGGTGCACTTAAACGGCAGCTCACCGATGTTGTGAACCTTGAAGATGTGCGCCTGCAGCACATGATCAGAAGACATGACCAGTTTGCAAATCTCGCAGACCAGCCGCTGCTTAAACATCTTGGGCGGCAGGAACCGACACATCTTCATATAGAACTTTTCCGCCCCGTCTCCGGCGTTAATGGCATATTTCATGGTCTTGTAATACCACTGCCGAAGGCTCTGTATGGCGCGGAATATGTCATCGCTGTTGACGACTTCATGGGGTACTGAGGTCTTTGCAGCCAGACTCTCGTAGGCTTGCTTGCGAGAGCTCATGCTGCAGAACTCCTTGTGCGAGGGATCGTAGAGCTGCGGAAAGTTTGAGTACATCTTTATTAGGTCCGTGGTTAGTTTGTTCTTTTTTGAAAAATCCAGCTGGAAGTCGGAAAAAGCAAATCATTAATCAATTAAGTCAAACGCCCAAATGCCTTGCCTGAATCTTTCCGCCTTTGCCAGCTTCTTCCTGATCCCGACCGCTTTCTTCCTGCATCCGACTATCTTTTAGAAAGCTGCAGAGAGTGTACACATTGTAGGCCAAAGATTGGGGCTTTTGTTTTCCCGACAACACCCTCTTTTGAACGGTGTTGTACTGTGTGTGTAACTTCTTAATGGCCATTTTCAAAGTGCCTTCGCTTAGAACTACTGACACAGATGCATCCATTGAAGTAAGCATCTGCTTTAACGCCTTGGTGCTAGCTCCAGGCTCTTTAAAGTCTTTGTGTTTAGAATCCCAAAGGCACGGATGTGTCTTGTAAACCTCTATGAACTTAATCGTTCGAGGATCCCGGCGAAAGAAGGTGGGCCGAAACTGCAGGGATAAAAATATCTTTAAGCTTAGCCGTTTGGAATGTGGATCTTTGAATACCTTATAAGTGGGGGTAGGATTTATATCCGCATTCTCTCCAGGAGGATCAGAGACTTCCGCCTCCTGGTCCGAGCCACCGGAGACTTCCGACTCTTCCTCCGACTCGTCAGGCGACGAGTCGAGTGCTTCTATTTTCATCTCCATATTTGGGTGCTCCTTAATTTCCTCTTCATTAAACAGAAACTCTTGTGCCTCGTCAGGCAAAGAGTCTCGCGCTTCTATATTGATCTCTATATTTGATTCCACCTTGAACTCCTCTTGATCCATCAGAATCTCTTCCACGGTAAATGTTTCTGGTGTCTCCTCATCCTGGATTTCAATGACAAAGTTCTCAGGTGTCTTCTCAATTTGATCCTTAATAACTTTTTGCTCTAGCGGAACAAGGAAGCTGTGCATGTTCCGAAAGTGTAGCACGAACTCCTGCCACTGGGCCAGCTCCACGTCGGTGGGACAGTGGGAGCAACGCATCAGGAACTTTTCGTAGTCGCCACTCACGCAAATAACTCCACACGTCTTCATTTTAAGTCACGATTGCAAGCCGAGAATTTGCAGGTTGTTGGATATATCTCGGCCAATTGCAGAGCCATGCGCGTAGTCAGAAATAATTATGAAAGGGGTCTAGGTTTTTGTGCCCGAAAAAATGTGTAAATAAATTAACAATTCTTGATAAGTATTGTTAAATTAATAAAACAAAATATTATAAATTATTATATATATTTTTTATTAAATTAAACAATGAATACATGGGGTTCGAGTAAAAGAAAAACCTGTTTCAACCTACGTCCATGGCGCACAATCGATAAGTTATCGGAGCAAAAACAGCTGATAGGCGGCGGCAAAACAATCTGCGGTCACACTGGTTGTTGCTGGTGGAGCAGAAGCGCTCAAAGAAATGAAAACAAAAATATGGAGCAGCACAAGAGTCGCCTGGGGTACACCCTCGGCATGCTTAGCCTGTTCCTCCTCGGAGCCGTGCTCTTTCTGATCGGCTTCTTTCCGGCATCCTACTCGGCGGCGGAGAAGGACAGCACAGTACCCGAGGGCCGGCCCACCACATTGCACGGCGTAAAGTGAGTTTTATTGATATATTGCGTGAGATAAGGGTCTGATAAGGCCTGTCACCCTTCTGCAGATTGGAGCCACCACCACCTGCCTACGATTCCTTTATTCTGTTCCTGGTCGACGCACTGCGAAACGACTTTCCGGATGCAACGTCCATGCCGGTGGCACATTCCAGGGCCTGTGAAAGGCTCACCCTTCATGTGGACATACCGACGGTGACGATGCCACGCCTAAAGAGTATCACCACCGGAACTCTGTCCAACTTCATCGATATAGCCCTCAACGTGGGGCACACCGAGCAAGTGGAAGACTCGGTACTGCATCGATTAAAGCAGCGGAATCGAGTAGTGTCCTTCGCCGGTGACCACACCTGGGTGAATCTTTTTCCCAGCGAGTTTACGCGACGTGCGGAGAACAACGATTCGTTTTTTGTCAACGATTTCTACGAAGGCGATAGAAATGTGACTAAAGTACTGGAATCCGAACTGGACAAGAGTGACTGGTCGCTGCTGATTCTGCACTATCTGGGACTGGACCACATTGGTCATGTCGAGGGAAATGCCAGCCCAAGGATTGCCCTCAAGCTGAAGGAAATGGATGAGGCGGTGCAGAAGATACTGGAGCATAAGGTGGGTTAAGTCACTTGAATATCTATATCTACAATATTGACAAGTTACGCATCTTCTTTTATTGTAGAGCCTTCCCAACTATCTGCTGATGCTAACTGGTGATCATGGCATGGCCGATGGCGGAGGACATGGCGGCAATACGCCGGCCGAAACTCTGGTACCGCTATATCTCTACTCAAAGAACTGCAGCAAGGCCATGTAAGTGTTTTGAGGTTCTAGTCTAATAATCTAATCAATCCTTTTGTGACCTTCAGATCCAGCACAAAAACCTACAATCAAATCGACCTGGCTCCCACTCTCTCCGTACTACTGTCCGTGGAGATACCCACGCCGTCTATCGGCAGCCTGATACCAGAGATGCTGCAATCGCTGTCCCTGGAACACCAATTGTACGCCTACTTCTACAATGCCCATCACCTGCTCAACAAGGCCCGGGTGAAGTTCGGCCACGACAGGGTGCAATGGAGTGGTAAGCATACGAGGATTTCTGTCAGTGTGTCTTTATTTAATTTATGGATTCTTTAGATTACTACACCTGGTATCAGAACGCCACATTGGTCCACAAAAAGCTGCTCTTTCATATGAGAGATGGAGACGGAAGTGGAGCTAGCCAGGTGCTGTACCATAATGCCAAACTGAATTACATGCGGGTTGCACGAGTGATTTCCGGTCTGCTCTCCGAGTCACTGGTGAAGTTTGACTACGGATTTATAGCCCTGGGTCTCACATTGACTACGGCGGTAAGAATCCCCGACTAACTGCATTTAAAGTCATGCTAATAGAATAGTTCCTCTGCTCAACTAGGCATCGCTGCACATGGTGATCAGCGTCCTGTACCTGGATTTGACCGAACAGCTCCACCTGGACAGTTTGAACGTGGGTCAGCTGGTTGTTTCCGTGATTGCGGCTGTTCTCGTCAATATGACTAGTCATGCGTTGGACATTATTCGGACGAGCTCCTGGCTGCAAAGCTTCATGCTATTGATTCCCCTGGCCATCTCCGTTTATCTGACAATCGATGTGGCGCAGGCGCTGCTCAAGATTGCCTTGCCACCGATATATACGCGTCGCCTTAAGTTGTCCATTCCACTACCGCTACCTCTGCTTGCCTGTTTTGCTATTCGCACATTGACACTAGGCTCCTCCTCGTTCATTGAGTTCGAATACAAGACGTGGTATTACCTGGGCAACACCCTTATCCTGCTGACAGCCTTCAGGACCCTGCGTCGACGGATCACCAAGACCAATGTGGAGTTGGACGGACGGCATTTGTATACGATTGCCTCGACGTGTCTGTGGCAGATGAGGAAGGTGTTTGTGATGCTGATGATGCTCACCCTTATGCGCTACATCCACCGGCTGCAGGCCATCCGGAGCACCATTATGATATTCTCACTGTTGCTGTTGTGGGCTCGCCTGCATCGCCACAGCGCAAGCTGGATGCAGTCGGTGGCCAGTGGAGCGGCTTTGTGTATGGTCTACTGCTTTCGTGGGCTCAATGGCCAGGTGCACTTCATCGAACTGGCACCGTATCTGGCCTCCAAATTGATGGTGCCCACGTTGGTGATCTTCTGGTGCTGCCTGGCGCTGGTTCTAGGGCTGGGCTATCGGGAAGCCTTGCCTCAAACCCATCCGACCTTGGGCACGAGAAGCGTGTTGCTTCAACTGCTTCAGACTAACCTGTCCAGCTCCCTGCTGTTGGCTGCTCTTCTGCAAAAGGTGCAGAACATACTACTGCTTCCCGTCCTTCTTGTGGCCTTGCAGCAAACCTACAAGCTGTGCGATGTCTTTGGGACCAGCGCCCGCAAGTTTTCGGTGCGCTTGGTGCACGTGTACAAGATCATCATGACGGTATTCTTGGCCAGAATGTTTTACTTCTATCAGGGCAACTCGAACAGCCTGTCCACCATTGACCTGACACCCGGTTACATAGGGCAGACCAGTTACAACCCCGTCATCGTGGGCCTCTTCGTCACCCTAAACACGTATGGAGCGGAGATACACGCATTCCTCTATTTGATTGTCCACACTTTACGCTCGGATCTGCGTAGCGTGGGAATCATGCAGCTACAGCCACCCTATTCCATCGCCGCTGACTCGCTAATAGCTCCGCTCTACGCTGCACTCATCATGCTGCCGGCGGCCTTCTACCTCTGCCTGATGGTTGGCTTTCGCTACCACCTCTTCATCTATTCCGTCTTTTCGCCGAAGGCTTTGTACGACTGTTACACTGTACTGGTATTCTATTTGGTGTTTTTAGTAACGAGTTTGTACTTTAAATTGTTTAAAAATGACGCTTAAAATAGGAATTAATTTAAGAACGCTTAAGGCTAATACAATATATAGAAATTGATCGATTGAGCTACAGAGTCGTGGTGAATTCAATTTGAGTGTTAAATAATCCTAGACAAAGAATACTTGAAAATGAATTAACTACCAACTTAAAAATAATATTTTTTAAAACGTACATAATGAAACCAAACTTAAAACCATATTCAGAGTTGTCCAAAGAAAAATTTCAGTTCACCTCACCCACTCGGAGGGCGTAGTGTATGTCGTCAGCGCTGACGTTAAGCAGGATCTTCTGAAAGAGATCGTTGCGTGAGTGCTCACTAATGATGAGCCGCTCGGCGCCCAGCTTGGCACACAGTCGAAGAGCACGTCCTGGTGCTGGTAGGGTTACGCCCATGAACGCAGCTATTGTCTCGACCTGCGTATAGACGCCCATAAAGGTGGTCTCTTCGACGCCGGTGCGTGTGACTTCCGCTGCAACAGCCTGCAGAAATATCTGCTCCAGTCGCGAGCAATTTTTGATGGCCTGCACCTTGGCACTGGCTATCATCTCGGCCAGAGCCTGCTGAACATGCAGCATTGTCACACACTTGACCGAGGCCGTATCGGCAATTTCCGTGGCGCGGCGACAAATATCGAGGGCACGACGAGCATCACCAGAGACGGCGGCCACCTTGCGAGCCACCAGCTGGACAGCCTCGCCCTTGAACGCCTCCGAGCCTCCCAAGCGAGCGGTAACGATCTCCTGCAACTGCTTGTGTGTATACGGCTGGAAAGTGAGACGGGTGAGTCCCAGTCGAGAGGTGACCTTGCCTGCGTCATAAAGAGCATGTGAGGTCTTAGTAAAATTGTTTCAAATATAACTCAGTTTTAAGCTTACCCATGAGCAGGCGCTCAGGCAGATCCATGGTGTTGGCAATGGTGACGACCACCAGCTTGGCCGCAGACTTGGTTGGCCAGTCGAGCAAGTTGTATACAACGTCCTGACGCCGGTTGCACAGAATGTCCAGCTCATCGACCAGCAACACTGTGGTAACTCTTCGTGGCGCCGGCGTGGTAAAGCGCTTCTCAAGCAACGAGTGCGCGTGCTCCCAGGAAACGGTCTTGCCTGTTAGCTGCTTGTAAATCTGAACGTAGGCCTGCCGCGGCTCTGTCAAACGCATACCGTTGATCTCCAGGAACTCGAAGGCGGGTAGCTCATTTTGCTTGGATAAACGCTGTAGGGTGCGGATTACACCGGTTACTGTGGCCGTTTTGCCGGTGCCCGGCACTCCAGACACGTACATACAGCCACCACACTGGTCCTGGATCTTTCCCTCTAGGAAGGCGTAAATGTTCTCGAACTCCCGCTCCCGGCAGGGCAGGCTCTTTGGCACCACGGACACGTGCAGTTGCTCGCGTGCCAACTGCAGTTGCGATTTGCTGGAATCCTTTACCGGACGATCTGTACGCTGTTGCATGCTGGGACTCAGCTCTCCGGCCCTTATTTTTTTCATCTTCTGCGAGGGCGTCATTGGAGCAGCTGCGGTAGCTGTATTTGTAGTAGTCCCTTTGCTGGGAGTCGTCGCTGGTTTGGTGGTGGTGCTCATGCGGCGCGTTCGCGTTGGTGTCTTTTGTACAGACTTCTTTGGCGTGTAATCCTCATCCTCATCCTCGATGCTTTTTTTGAGCGTCCCCTTTTCGGGGTGGATATAATGTCATCGTCCTTGAACACACGTTGCTCCACAATGTTGGAGAGATGAATGCTGCGTCTGGGAGTGCCCTCAGCAAGTCGACTGGTAGCTGACTTTAGGATACTCTTACGACGCGTTGAAGGCGTCAAGTCAGTGCCCGGCAGCAGCTCCTTGGACTTCTTGGTGGGTGTATGGTAAATATCGCCAGTGGTTACGCCCAAGCGCTTGCGTGAGCTTGGAGTTTCTTTGGTTTCGTCCACGATTTCCAGCGGGTCGTGGTCTATGGAGGCGAGACGTACTGAACGCCGTCGTTCCGAAATGCGCAGTTTAATCTTCATGTCGTTCGAGGGCGTCTTCGGATCTGGCGTTTGCTGGACAATGGAGTAATTTAGGCAGTCGGAATCTGCTGTGCTGTCCGCTCCTCGATCCAGGCTGAGATTGAGGTTGCGGCGTGCGGCGGAGGCACGAGATTTGGGCGTCTCGACCTTGGCATTCTTCTCTGTGAGCGGCGAAGCCGGTAGATAGTTGGCATTGATCTCCTCCTGGGCAGAACTCTTTTTCTTCTCCGACAGCCGAACCACACTGCGTCCGCCAACGATCTTGATGGGCGACACCTTGTTCTCGCAGTTGAAGTAACTGACATCGACGAACTCCAGCGAACTGGCCGCCGCCATTGAGGCCCGTCGTCGCTTCTGCATTGTGGCTTCTTCCTTAGCGGTAACATCCTTGCGGGCCGATGATGAACGTTTGGATTCATGCAGAGCAGCCAACGATTTCCGCTCTGAACGGGAGAGCGGCTTTGCATCCGGATCCTCCAGGTGAATTTCCAACGGAATTAGGCGATAGCGCCGCTTCACCTTGACGAACTTGTACCGGCTGACGAACATGGGGCAGGCCGTGGTCTTAAGCTTATGCGACTTGCTTTGGAGGATCTCTCCCGCCGAGTTGTGTGAGGTGCCTTCCAGGACGATGCACTTGCGGTAGATGGCGCCTAGAGCGACGTCGTTGTCGTATGGTCGATGTTCCTCGATCACCTCCAAACCGAAGTCAATGGACACGCTGTCGTCGTCGAAGTGGACGTGCGGTATGGCGTTTGGACGGGAGTACCACTGAACGATGGCGCGGCAGGGCTCACGATCGGTCACCTCGCGCAGTTCGTACATGTGTAGGATGCGGGCCACGTCGCAACCATTAACAGTGTCCGGTTCGGCTGCGTCCGCATTGGAAACCAGTATGTAGTCGCCCACCGTCAAAGTCAGCGGGCCGTAGATGCACTTCTGGTAGAAGTAGACGTTCTTGTGCTCGAGATTCTTCACCGATTCGAGCGGGTCGTGGCAGCCGATCCACTTCACCTGCTGGCCCACACTGAGGGCGTTCTCTTTATTAACCATCGCGAAGCAAATTTACTTATCTGTTCAAATAGCAAGTCGCCAACGTCAGCATGTATATATTATTGAGGTTTCTGCTCCAGATCGATGGCTTCTTCTTCTTCTTCGATCAGCTTGCCGCGCTGTTTACAGTTTTTGGCGCGGTTCCTAGGCTAGCGAAGGGATTTTGTGCGATGTATCGATAGGCGCATATATCGTTGTTTTTCTAGTTCTAGTTCATTTGATTCAATATTTGCGGGCCTTGCCATCTGGTTGTTTAGAGCATGAGTGGCCGTTATATTTTAAATTTGAATAGTTCGTAAAATAGTTTTACATCTCCAAAAAACTACGTAAAACTGTTTTGATTTAACTTAACATAATTTTATCATTTAAGAGATAAGAAAATAAAAACTGTAAAAACAGTTTTTCTATCCATAATATCTTGTGAACTTCTGGCAGAAATTAACTATTTAAATTCAAATACCGAAAGCATATGTTGCTTCCTTTAATATCCTAAAGCAGCCCCCATATTCATTGATAGTTTATGGTTTTTATTTATGAATAAGAGTAGAATATAATGTTGGGTACGTATGTACGCAATGAGTACAAACATCAAGCAATTGAATCAAACATTTTGCATCGCATGCATAACAATTTTGTATATAATATGTATAACATTTATTTTGTAATCCGCATCTGCTTGAGAGGGCTTTTACTTTTACGTGATCAAAAATCATTGAATAAGCATAAATACGATGCCCGAATCTCTCGTTCCCGGCTTACATTCTGATGGGTGGGTGTGATGTGATGTCGATCGATCTGTGCAGACTGTGTGTTAGGCAATCGCAAAGTAGAATCCGGGTTGTGGGCTTGCTTACAAATTAAAATAAATCACAATCTATATGTACATAATACTAAAAATGCTTAAAATGCTAAATCAATGAAACGAGGAGGTGGTCGTCTGCAGTCCAAAATTAAGGTTACAAAACAATGGCCGGCTACAAATTAAGCACAATTAAATCCGCTTCGAGAGTGTCGCAGGTTGCAGTGTTTTGTCGGGGGTGTGTCCTCTGAATACAACTAACAGATATCCATATTGAATGAGTTAATGTTTTGATGGGGGTCCAATTACTCCCTTACTCCTAGCTGCCTCTACTCAATGTCGTGGAAGCGGAGAATGGCGCGTCCGGGTATCTCGGAGTTGCACAGCTTTGTGATGACCTCGGCGGCCTGCTCGCAGGGGAACACAGAGTGCGGTGGCGGCTCAATCTTCTTATTGGCCACCAACTCCACCAGTTCCGCCAACTGTTCGGCGGTGCCGTTCGAGATCGGTATAATCTCCTGCTGGTACTCGTTGGACAGCCGCGAGAACTTGGGCAGCAGCTTCTCGGCCACCTCGTCGCTGATCAGCACCACACCGCCCTTGGACAGGCAGTGCATCGAGCGGTGCAGGCTTCTGGAGGTTGTGCCGAAATCAATAACCACATCCACGGCTCCGCCGCACACGTCCTTGGTGCGCTCGATGAGCTGGGGCTCATACAGGCATTCGTTCCACTGGACCACGCTGACACTGCAAATGGAAACGAGGTTGTTCGATTAGAAAATTTAAGGAAATATATCAATAATAGGATAAGGAATTTTAAAGTCCAAATAAGGATACTGACGATGGCCATAGGCCAATGCCTAGAAGTCTCTGTTTTTGTTTTATCTTTGGTGTGTTTCTGTTTTTTAACTAAAAGCTTGCCTTTTGTATTTTAAATGTTTATATATATTTTTAAGGCTTTGTCATAAAATACACTCTTGCAAAGTTGAGGTTTGTAATCTTAACATAGTCTAATCTCTCTTGTTTTACGACCAAAGCTACTGTGCAGATTACTGACTGGCTTGTTGTTCATTTATTGACTTTAGACTATTTTCAGGCAATCGCTGGCTGATTGGTTGTACTCACTTCTTGATCTCCGTGGCCAGGCGGAAACCCTCGTCCCTGAGACTGGCCACTGTGATGTCCACGTTGTCGGCACCAGTCGAGGCAAAGTGATAGGAAGCAATGCGCACCGCCCAGAGCGCTAGTCCGCCGGTGCCCACAATCAGGATCTTGCACTTTCGCTTCGGCTCTGTGGCAGCCCGCTGGCTGAGGATCTGTGTGACCACCGCTTGGGCCTTGAAGACGGCATTCATGGCCAGCAGGGCGCCTGTAGGCAGCATTGCGGCCACCTCCATGGGCAGACTGTCGGGAATCGGCACGACGTGCTTCAAATCTGGCACCACCAGAAGCTCGGCATAGCCGGCTGGGGTCTCGTCGAACGGATATACGATGACGCGCTGTCCAATGCGCAGGCCACGGTTGTTGGCCTCCGTGATCTCTGAACCCAGGGACTCGATCACGCCGGCCACTTCGAAGCCGGGGAAGAAGGATCCCTCTCGGATGCCCTGGTGAGCGGGCGAGGACATTGAGTTGACCGACGGGCAGTAGTCGCTCAGCTCCGACGACACCGACGACATGCTGGTTATGGAGTTGGACCGGTCACGACGGCGATAGCAGGCACCGGCGCACACAATCCTGATGCGGGCGCCCAGGGCCGGTGTGTCCTCGATGGGCACAAAGAAGTTGAAGACGCAGTTCTTGGCACCCGGGCCGGGCGACTCAATTGACACTTGGCGGCACAGCTTGTTCATGTTGTGTGGATTATGGTGATCGGGATCCGTCGGCGGCAGAGCGGAATTCAGGGATAGTGAGTTCAACGACAACGAGGTATCTGTTGTTCCGCTGCAATAGAAATACGTAATATATATATTAGAAATGTTATATATTTTTAACCAAAAATAAGTCTATAGATATACGGGATAAATGGTCAATCAACTTTGCTTTGTCTGAGGAATGAAGGATATATAAACGAACTTTATATGTATATATTCCAGTAATATACTGGGAACCCATAAGATTCTAAGCAAATCGTGTTGTAGGTTTTATTTTGTATCAGAGATGATATATTTCATATATTATATGACTTATATTTTTTTCTGAAGGCCTAAACTAATGTATTTTGAAATTATGATTTAAAAGACCTCTTCAATTTCCTCAAATATCAATTTACGAATCACCATAGAATTAATTGATACATTATTTCCGAGCTTTTATTGCGTACTTTTCAATATTTTCAATGCCAAAACATGATATGCCTGTTCTATTTGGTATTCTCCGCCTGGTTTCCCTATAAACAACAACGAGAACAAACACTCCTAACGATTATCTTTGATTTCAATGCCAGCAACAATTCAGCTTTTCTATGTAAATATAATATAATTCTAGCAACTTTTAGTGTGACGTAATTAGTGCTATGTGTATGGTGGAGTGCTCCCATTTGATACTCTTACACAGTAGTATCTGAAAGGTCAAGTGGGCGGGTGCTTGGATTATTACAATTCGATACAGCAATCTATAGCGAATCCATCCATTTCCCATCTCAATGAGCTGACAAAAGCTTCAATTAATAGATAAGCTCTAGTATCGGACATTCGATTTGGTTGATAAATAAATACGACCAAAGCTGGCAATTTATGGGTCATAAAGGAAGTAGATAAACTGATATTGGTCTGGGCTGATGTCTAGCGATTTAATTAGAGCATATTGCAAACTGATAAGGATTGGTGACGAAACTTTTAGATCGAAGTACACACATCACATTCACTTTCATTCTTCAAATAGCATTGGATACATTGAGTCATGAACCTTAGAGGATTTGTTTTACGCTTCTGATCAAAGTTTAGTAATGATATGAATTTATAATGTGTTTTATTATTATAAATGGAAACACTTAAAATATCTCATTAAATATCTTTGCAGTTTAAGCTCAATATTCAAATTTATTTATTTAATTTCATGTAAACCTTCAGCTCACTCTCACGAATGACAGTATATTCACTTATTGCAGCCGGCAATGTGTTAATTAGAAAACGTTATTGCCGCAATGGAAAAATCACGTTAAGGGAAAAATTCAATCTATTAGATAGTTTACCTTCTGGAACTGAGCAATGTGTGCTGTTGACTGCATATATCGACCGGCATTGTGCTGTCTTTCGTTACTCTTTTTTACACCTTTTCTCTTTTATTTATTTTCTTTTTTACTATTTAACACTTTTACTAGATTTTTCTTTTAGCTGCACTTTTTCTTGGTTTCTGTTTCAGTTTTCACGTCTTGACCAGCGCACTTCCAAAGAACATCTGAAGCGAGTTCCCCCGATGCGCCAGCTAAAAAGCAAAAAAGCCGGTGACGAAATGGAACGAGTTCTTGCTATCTCTCTCTCTCTCTCCCTCTCTCTTACATACACAGCACGCAGGGAATGCGTGAAACGTTTGAAATAAGTGTATCTACATATATGTGTTTTCGCTTGGAAGGAATTGCATGGCCGAATTTGCATCTATAGGATTGCATTTTTATATTTTGAGATTTCAGAACATTTCATATATGTATGTATACCTACATACATTTAATATTCTTGTTCGTTCATCAAAAATAAATGCAGAAATAGATATGTAAATATTTTTAATATGTTAAATTAAAAATTTAAAACTTTAATAATGATTAAATATATAATCAAGCAAACGTAAAGTATTTATTTTATAGGCTATATCAATTTCGATAAAGCAGTGATTTTAAAGGGGGATTGAATTGGTCAAGGACGTAAAAACAGTTTCTTGGGAACTTCAAATGTTAATATTCTAACAATTCCAAACAATTTATGGCAACTTATCCACGATAATTACATATTGATTTAATTGAACTTGGATTACATTTTAAAAACTACACTATGAAAATATTTTTAAAGGTGTTAAGGTAGCTCTTGAAACAAAAATCGAAATACTTTTTAATGAAACAAACCTTGTAACTACAATAAGTACCCTTTATTTTTTTGCCTGTGCATGAGAACGAGATTGTTGTTTATCTTTTGTTTACACATTCGAATTTCGAATTAACACACAGAGGACGCAGTTGTCGAGAGAAAAACAAACGAAAGCTACTAGCCATTTGATCAAAACAATTTTATAAAAAACAACAAATGCATTAGGCCAACGCGTGCGACAGATTTATGGCCAAAACAAAGTTCGAGAGCTGGCCAAAAGCCCTCTCCAAGAACGGAAACCCCCTCATATTTCGTTGCCAGGCGGCCATCAAATCGGTTATAGAACTTTTGATGACAATTCTGTTTTTCTAGCGATGCTATGGGATTTGTGGGTGAGATTCGGAGGATGCCCCCTGAGTCACGTCGGATTCTCCACGGGTGGCAACAGATTATAACCGTCCCACTGATAATTCCTAATATAAACTATTGAATATTAATTATAATCGTAGTGGAAACTAAAGAGCTATCTTTTATCTACAAAATGTTATTGAAATGCACCAAACGTTCTTGCATGGAAAGAAAAATAAACAAACAATTTATGGATAACCTATTTGTTTGCTAATAGATACAAAAACAGTGAAAACTACTTAAAAAGAACTTTGTACAGATTTAAACAATATTTTAAATTTATCAAGCTATACAGCTTAAGTTCCTTATTAATGTATGTACAATTTGCTAAAATAAGAACATAATTTTAAAGCTAACATTCCTTTCCTTTTGATAGTTGAAGTTTTCAAAGCTTTACTGTTTATTTCCAGTGCCTGCAGTGCATGTAAATGTGAGCGTGGTTGTATCTGTGTGTTTGTGTATCTATGTAACTGTTTGCGAATGCTTGTTGTTTTTGTTTGTGAAGCGAGGAACGGTGGATGTTTGGTTGGCAATGGCAGGGAAAAAGTGGGAGGAGGTGAGAGAGCAAGCACAACAAAACCAAAGTCAGGTACACGTGCTCGGTGCGTGATAATCATGCAGTGGCCGATGTGAGTGAAAGAGAGGGTCTGATGGCGGCCAGCTGACTGAAGGCAACGCTCTCTCGGCCTCGTTCTTTCCACCCTCGCTCTTTCAGCTTCTCGCTCTCTCTCTCTCTCTCTCTGTCTCCCAACTGGAGGAATAAATGCATAAAAGCAAAGATAGAAATGAACATCTCCTTTGTGCGTGCGGCTTTGTTGTTGTTCTTTGATTTACCGCTCACAACAACGCATAAATAAACAACCGCTATAAATACGCGCTTGAATTTACATTTACGCAGTTACATTTTACAGATTCATATTCGCATCCTGCCAAAAATTTCTCTTTTTTTGGGGCTTAACGACAGAAGTTATGTGCTAAGTTAACGGTGTCTTAAACACAGGAAAAATAGCATACTTAATCCCTTAATCCAATCTTCCTCGGTATTTAATTTTATTCGCAAAATTGTAATTTTATGCATTTTGCATTAAATATATATATATTATATTTTTTGCCTATAAACCTTATTTCATTAGGAATATTTTAATAAAATATTTAGATACCAATAGTAGGCACAATTGTTTTCTGTATTCTCGACAGTATCTCGACTATTCGCTCTGTATAGTATTAAGTTACTTTTCATTATAGGGACAAGCTTAGTGGGGCGAACATCTGTGTGAAGGAAAAAAGCGAAAGTGCCATAAAGATACGATAAGCGAAACTCGCGAAAGCCATAATTAAAAACAATATTTGTCTCCAATTAAATGCTGGACCCCAATTAAAAGACGGTTTCGCATATGGCCGATCTCCTCATCACGATCAAAAGATCAGCAATCGAGCAAATATTTACTGAATTATTTATTTATTTGTTATTCTGTGGCGCTGCGCTGGAATTGAAAACATATTCGTTTGGTCAATTCCAGTCAATTGTATTTAATGATGGAATCAATCAAGTCTAATGACGGATTGGCAATGCAAATATCTGTATGAGGCTGTCGCGCCAAAAAAATGTGGCCCACTGTCGACATCGGCCCATTATGCAGCAATAAGGCATTAAATTTTATTGTAATCGGTGGCGACTAACCGGAGTGAACTCTGTTGGATCGGAAGGGGGAATCGGAATCGGAATCGAGCTATATTTAGTCCCTTTGTGCAAATGCGATTAATTCCTCGATCGAGATCTGAGCCGAACCGACTTTGTATTTGTTTTTCATCGCCTCTGATTTTCTTGTTCTTTCCCGTGATACTAATTTACAATCCTTGATTGCGTTATAATGGGGTGCAAAATATATATATACCGTATCTGAAGCGAAAATATAGCCATAAATTAGTGCTCGCCACACCCAGATTTTAGTTAGAAGCTGTCAAGAGTCATCAATCATATTTGGTCTACCCCAAACCTTGAAGGAGCCTCTGGATTTCAAAGCATCCAATGGATACAGAAAACTCTAGTAACAGGTATTCCCTGGTCGGTGTTCGGGCCAAATAACTTGGTCTAAACAAATCTCCGGGTGCTGATAACAGTGTGCTACACGGGAGCGTATGTTTTGATACTTATGAAGACACAAAAACAAGCCCATTGATTTACGGGCCACTCAACTGAGTTTTGGATGGCCCCCATAAGAGGTGTTTACACTCAGCGGACTCTAGAGCCATGGGTCCACGACATGATTGGGAACATAAGCCGCACATGGAGCTTTCAAAGGATAATCAAACATTTGCGGTGTGTATCTCAGCAGACGCCCCATTTAAATCCGATGGATCGAATTACGCATCAGAAAGGTGGACACAATGGACGCCGGAAAAGCTGTCTATACCCCCATAAGGAAGTTGGCTCCGAAGAAAATGGCAACTGTGCACGTACGCCAAGGGGGAGTTGCGTAATACAATGGATTTACTTGCGACTTACTTACCTTTGTAAAAAAGTTAAAAGCGTAGCGTATCAAAAACACTCCCGCAGTTGCCTATCAAAATATTTTTACTTGTTACTGTTAACTTTAATAGTTAGTTAATTCAAACGCATCAGCAGCGTTGCGATTTTGTTTTAATTTTTTGCGATGCCTTTTGACTGTTTTTATTTTTCTGGAGGAGCACCGCAGCCGTACGGCGTACAGCAGGATACGTTTGACTTTGAAGTCTCCTTTGCCGAATCTGAAATAAAGGCACGGTCCAAGTGTAAATACGAGTTCTGAGTGTGCGCAAGAAAGAAGGAAAGAACGCGTGCTTCTTTGAAAATGCGGAACTGGTTCATTTGACTTGATATTTGCGCAGTTTTTAAAAGAATAGAATTTGTTTTAATATCCTATCTACCGGTAACCTACTGACTGTAAATTTAAAAAAGGAGTTCAAAATTTTGCGCGCCTAAGACATATTAATCGCACCTAAAAGTATGCAATAATTCAACCAAGCTATCGATTAGCAGCTCAGAAAAAATTCAAAATTTTTGTCATCGATTTTAGTATAACCAGGAATAGCGTGAAGTTAGCTGAGCTGGCAACACTGATTGTGTAGGAATTCTACCCAAAAGGTGGAATTGTTCTGTACATGTGTAAAATGTAAAAAGGAAATCTAACTTATAATGATAGTATTTACTTATGAAAATTCACTTAATTAATGTAAAAAACTTATTATTTTATAATATATATTGGAATAAACAATTTTTAAGGCTGCAAGGTAGTTGAAATTTCCAAAGCTTTTCCATTTTAAAATATCCAGATTTAGCTACTAAGCTAAGCTGGCCACACTGTTTTCAAGCTCTGTTAAATTGTGTTTCTAATTTGAAGTAAAAATCAAACGCGCAGTAGATATCAACAAGTGATCAACATGTCAAGCGAAGGAGCCAAGACATTCACGCGAGCCGAGGTCGCCAAGCACAACACGAACAAGGACACCTGGCTGCTTATCCACAACAACGTCTACGACGTCACCTCCTTCCTGAACGAGGTGAGAGGGCAGAGAACGAGAAAGAGAGAATGAGTGTGGGACACGTTGGAATTGGACGCATTAATGGGGGTCATTCGGGTGTTATCTTGCTTCTATTACTGTGATGAGTTAACGGCGCGCCCATGCCACTAACACGTACACCCTGCAAACGGCCCCGATTTCCGAACTGCACCTGAGAGCTCGTCGTGCGTGGCGGCTGTCATTAGGTCTGTACTTTGACCCGCGGACTCTGGCTGACCTGCCTCCGGATTTCTCGGCTCTTTGCTCTCAAAGTTATTGTCGAAATCCGACTTTTGAAACCGCTGGCCGTCTTGCGAAACTATCGTCGTTTTGCATATGTCAAGTGTTAGGCAAAAAGCGCGTCCCCATTTGCATCTCATTGGATTTTTGTTGGCCCTGCGACCTGGATTTTTATGGAAGTGCACTGCCGGCTAGAAACAGTTGGAGTCGCAGTCAAAGACGCCTCACCTCACCCTGACGCGGCGGTTGAATGGGCGTAGAACATGTGCTATCTGTAGTATTGACTACTCTTATAAGATAAGCTCAGCGAAAACATTGTTCTAACGATGACGCTGCACTTCGCATGCCAGAGAAGTAACAATTGTGAGGGTGACAAAGCGGCTTATTTATATTTCCAATTCAAAGTTTGAGTCCTATCGCTCAAACCGATCCAGACCATGTTTTAAACATGCTGTTCATAATCTGATCCACTGCGTTTCGAGCGGTGTTATATATGTATCCTCGGTGCCTCTGAATGAACATTTTAAAATTGCGTAGCAGGCATTTCCCAGACACCTTTATACAGCATCAGTACAAACAATTTGACTCGCAAATTTATTACTTTATTTTATTTAAAGCAAGTAATGATTTTGAGAATGGCAAAAATTCCATCAAGTTTTGTTCGCACTTTGTTCAATTAAACTGTGATTACTTTTTTGTCTCTAATTATAATTATAGTATACTTGGCATAGTAAACCGACTAGGTTAATTTGATAACGAAAGCATTATACTATACAAACCTATTATATAAACAGTATATATAAAAGTAAAAGAGTAATGGATTCATAGTTAGTCAAAAAAGCAACTAAAAAACTAATTTTCTAAACTCGTAAAGTTCTGGTTAAAAAATAGCTTTGCAATCGTACCAAAGTTTGGTGAAAATTATAGTTGCTTATCTTTTAAAGCTACCTCAGAGGGGAAGCTAGTTATTTTAGAATTGATACGAAGATACTTATGATTAGTTGCAATTTTATATGACTCTACACAAAATTATAAAACTTAATATCATTCTTAGTTGCAATTTATTTTGACTACGAAAAACTAGAAACCTTACTTCCATTCTGACTAATCTAAACAATAATCATTGGAACTGTATCAAATTTGGATATTATTCAAGCACAAAAAGTTCGTACTATGAGTTGCAAAGCAAACTGTACAAATAGTACTTGCTATTTTCAATTCCACTGACGTTTCACAACTCAGAATATATAGTTTGCCGACATTTAGATTTGCATATAGCGGATATTTTACAAAATACTCAAGACTTCGGACCTGAGCTGATTGTTAAACGATACAATTCAGGGTCAGGTACATTAGCATTTCAATTGTGGAGAGGAATTCAGTGATTTATGCGAATATTTATTTACGTTTCGTTCTTTACAGCATCCCGGAGGCGAGGAGGTGCTGATCGAGCAGGCCGGCAAGGATGCCACAGAGAACTTTGAGGATGTTGGCCACAGCAACGATGCCCGCGACATGATGAAGAAGTACAAGATCGGCGAGCTGGTGGAAAGCGAACGGACCAGCGTGGCCCAGAAGTCGGAGCCCACCTGGAGCACGGACACACAGAACGAGGAGAGCTCGGTGAAGTCGTGGCTGCTGCCCTTGGTGCTGTGCCTGGTGGCCACGCTCTTCTACAAGTTCTTTTTCGGTGCTGCCAAACAGTAGCGAACCCAAATGAGGCCCAGCCCGCTCCGGAGCCAATTAGTTAATCTACGAACGAACGCTCAAAAGTCACAGGCCCGGAGAGGAGTTGAGAAGGATAAGGAGTAGCAGCGATGGAGCCAACGGAGCGGGGGCGATTTTAATAGTAAATTTGTGCTAAGTTTTAATGTTACATTTTGGCATTTGGCATTTTTTGTACACAACCCTCTCTACCCATGTAATTCCTTCAGACGGCGGGGCTAGAGTTATGTTTCCCAGTTGATATTCCAACATTTGAGGCACGAGACATGTATGTACATTAAACATATTTCCAAAAAATCTAAAATACCCCTTAAATTTGTTATTTCCGTCAGTTAGGCTCTTGTTTTAATACTATTTACACTTCGTCTCGCCGCATAGTGTATGGTTCTAAATTTTTATGGCAAACAAGATCAGAAATGGCTAAGATCATCCAGATGGCGATAATGTTGGGCAGCTCCAAGCTGGGTCCCGGTGCCTTCAGGTCCGATGAGAGCTCCATGGGCTTGGAGCCGGGGCCGAAGATGAAACGAGAGCTCCCCACGCGCAAGATGTGCCTGGAGGCCTTTAAGCGTACTCAGTATGACATCCTAATCATTGGCGGCGGCGCAGTGGGTTCTGGGTGTGCCTTGGATGCTGCCACGCGGGGCCTTAAGACGGCCCTGGTCGAAGCCGAAGACTTTGGCAGTGGTACTTCCTCAAAGTCCAGCAAACTGCTCCAGGGCGGTCTGGGGGACCTGGAGCAGGCCATATCGAGTCTGGATGTTGCTGCATTTCGACGAGTACAATGCTCCCTGAAGGAGCGCAGGCACATCGGTCACCTGGCGCCGCACCTCAGCCAGGCCGTGCCTATTCTACTGCCCGTTCATAAATGGTGGGAGGCTCCCCTGTACTACATGAAGCTGAAGATTTACCACCTGATGGCGCCTAAGGGCAGCAAGAGCTTTCATTATCTCAGTGCCGACGAGGCTCTCGAAGTTTTTCCCCTGCTTCAGCGACAGGAGCTGTTCGGCGCTTTCGTCTTTTATGAGGTCCAGCACGATGATGCGAGGATTTGCCTCTCCCTGGCCCTGACAGCGGCTCGATACGGCGCTGACATCTGCAATCATATGAAGGTGGTGCGGTTAATTAAAAACAGGGAAGGCAACATAGCGGGCGCCGAGGCGGTGGATCAACTGACGGGAAAGAAGTACCAAATCCGGGCCAAGGTGGTTGTCAATGCCACTGGACACATGAGCGATATCATGCGCCGAATGGAGGATGCGGAGGCAAGGCCGATGTGTACGAGCAGCTGGAACTCGATCATTGTGCTGCCGCGCTTCTACTGCCCAGAGCAAGTGGGTTTCTTCGATCTGCACACTCCCGACGGCCGATCTATATTCCTGCTGCCCTGGCAGGGTCATACACTGGTCGGGACCAGCGAAGAGCCCCTCGATCTGCCCGAAAAAATGCCGTCCCACCCCAACGAGTTTGATGTTCAGTACCTGTTGGAGGGCATCAACCGTTTAGTGAGCCCCAATTTCACTGTCCGGAGGTGCGACGTACTCGCTGCTTGGGGCGGCTACAAGCCTGTACCCGTCCAGTCCACCTCTATGCCCCGTACTCCTCTCAAGAACTACATAATCCATGTGGGACCCCGGAACATGCTGTCTGTGGTGGGCGGAACCTGGTCCTCATTCCAGGCGATATCCGAGAACGCGGTTAATGAGGCCATTCGCTACGGAGATCTCTCAACGGCGATCGATACTTCGGTGATGGGAAGGTCCTGCCAGCTGGATGGAGCAAGCGGCTGGAACCCAAAGATGTTCATCCGGCTGGTTCAAGACTTTGGAATGGAGCGCGACGTGGCTGAGCATCTATCCAATACGTACGGCTCGAATGCTTTTAAGCTAGCCGCGTGCGCGGACAGCAGCGGAATGTCATGGCCCATTGTGGGCAAGCGGCTGCATTCGGAGTTCCCATATATTGAGGCGGAGGTAAGGCAGGGCGTTCGGGACTTCGCCTGCACCCTGCAGGACATGGTGGCTCGCCGGTTACAAGTGGCCTTCCTCAACGTCCAAGTGGCCGAGCAGATACTTCCGCAGGTGGCCAATATTATGGCTCAGGAGCTGAACTGGACGAGCGAGCAAACGAGCCGACAGATCTTCGAGGCACGCTCCTTCCTCAATTCACAGATGGGCATCTTACCTAAGGATAATCCCTTGCATCAAAATATCCCCATTAAGATGTCTGTACGCCAGGTGAAGAAGTTTGCCTCGCAATTCAATAGCCTGGATGATAACAACACCGGCTACGTTTCCATCTCCGACTGTTGTAGGGCCATGAAAAGTTTTGGCGTAAAGGAGGTGCCTCTGGACCTGATGCACAATGTCCTGAGCGACATCGAATGCCAAGCGCAGGGCAAGGTGAATCTGTATGAGTTTCTGCTACTCATGTCGGCCGTTGTGCAGGGCGATTCCGCGTACCTAAACTATGCCCGGACGTACATGGAGCTTAAAAAGCAGGCTTGGGAGAGCGGAAGCAGCAACCTGCCCGGCTTTGTGCATGTGGAACGTTGCGGTGGCAGCCTGTAAAGTGAATCCTCTAATTTTTATTTTTAATATATAATCCGTTTACCTTGTCCATTTTACACGGTGAAGCAGAGGAACCATTCAGGGATCCGCTTCTCTAACTCAATTTTATTTCGAGCTCTAGGGGGGACGAAACTTACAAACGGATGAGGCTAAGCAATGCTACTCCTTGGGCTTTCCCTTGGGCTCGTATGGTGTCATCAGGTTCTCCGAGAAGGATCGAATGCTGTCCGGACCTCGCACCTCTTTCTCCAGCAGCGGCAACTTGGTCACATGGAAGTCCTCGTACAAATCTGCGATCTGGTCCAGGTATTTCTCTTGGATTTTAAAGCGGGATGCACACATGCTGCACGAATCGTGCGAGTTCTGCAGGAACAGCAGCTGGTTCACAATTATATTGTGCACATCGATGCCGCACTTGGTTAACTCCTGCACAAGGCGCTCCGTCTCGTACAGGGAGAAGAACTCGGCAATGCAGACGCACACAAATGTGGTTTGGTCCTGTTGTGGAAATTATATGGCATAAATAGAAATCAAGCTGCTAGAACATTCCAAATAATGCTTACCGGATTCTTGAACTGCTCGTTAACCTGGGTGATCACGGCCATCATGTCGTCCAGCTTCTGTGAGAGGGTGTCCGCGTTTACATCGGCCATGCCCAGCATGGAGGCAAATTGTGTGAGAAGCGGCGCCACCTTCATCTTGAGCCGCAGCAACTTGCCCAGGCCCTTCTCCACGACCTGGGGGAATGCGATCAGGCGAAGCGTGTGCCCCGTGGGCGCCGTATCAAATACTACCACCGAGAAGTTCATTCCCTTGACCAGCTTCATCACCTCAGCATAGCTCATGGCCTCATCGATGCCGGGCAGGGCATTGATCATCTCCTGCATGACGCCCTTGCTCACACGCAGCGCCTCGTTGTCGCCCTCAAAGTACTCATCGGGCAGCTCATTAAGGCCAGCATTTGGATCGATTTCCATTGCGAATAGGTTGTCGATGCCATTGACCTGAAGGTTTAATAAAATGTTAAATAATACTAGGATTTTTGTATAGTTAAGCGCGTCCTCAAAACCCTCAAAGGCCGGGCGTGTGCGTCTTATTACCTTTGTGGGCACCTTGGTAAACTTTTGATCAAACGCATCAGAGATATTGTGCGCCGGATCTGTGGAAATAATAAGTACCGATTCACGTACTTTAGCCAGCTGAACGGCCAAACTGGAGCTGAAAACATATGTACATGTAAGCAGTAACTAATTATTGGCCGGAAAGCTTAAGTGTCTTTGTTGTTGTTTCACCTGCAGGTTGTCTTGCCCACGCCACCTTTGCCGCCGACAAAGATCCATTTGAGCGAGTCCTGCTCGACGAGATTCTGCAGGCTCGGTTCCAGGGGCTCCAAGTTGTCGACCATATTGCAAGTTAATGGGCGGGACACGTAGGATTAAATGTGAAATTAAATGATTAACAACTAAAAAAACAGATGTCGTTCCTTTCTAGAGCCGGGCAAAAGCTGACGATACTATATTGCGAAAGTTATCGATTATTTGTCGCGTTCTAAATTCTACAATAAAGATTCTCATAAATAATAATAACTTTAATTAATAGTAAATTTGCAATAATCATTTATAAAGTAAAAATAACAAATATAGTTTAATGATTTATGTCGAAGTTCCCAGATATCGATAATGTTGTATATTTCAAAGAAGTTGGCAGCTCCGCCATTTTAATTCAACTTCTTGCGTTCTTTTTAATTTTATATTTAGAATTAAGTGTTCTGGAGCGTACAAAATTTCTTAATATTAATAAGTATAAATTCGTTTTGTTAAGTAAATCGAGCCGTTATGAAGTTTACTATGGACGCAAACATTTCCCCACAAGCAAGGCGCTCGTCAAGAACCAGGGATGGACTCGCACATTTGGCGCCAAATTGAAAATCTGATCGGGTTCCCTCAGATAAATAAGCTAATCTGAAATGAAAAGTGCCCTAAGTTTTTTTAAATATTTAAATTTTTGGGGTAAACTAAACATTTTAAATGCCGCAACATTGTGAATGCCATTGCGTAAACTTCTCAAGCTCTGCTTCTTTCTTTTTGCCTATTAAATGCACAAAAGCGAGCTCGGGCGCAAGAAAAATCACAATAAGTGCCGCGGATGCTCGCCCCGTCCGGTCACCAAACCCCCCTGCGCTCTACTGCTAATTGTGCAAATCGCGAGCTTATCATAAACACTATGGCGAGAAAATGCGAGCGACGAAAGAACGCAATTCCATTGCTTTGAACCTATACTAAAAATAGTTGGGAAAACACCTCCATCATGTTCTGTTCACGTTAAAAGCTGTGCGTTTATTGTTCCGATTTTGGAAAACGCGAATCTCCGTATCTTAACGGTTACCGCAACGATTTCCGTCCCCACTTTTTAACACGCTGAATCGAACTCTGGAGCGAAGAGAATTGTTTTCTTATCTCTGAGCACGGAAGCTGTGCCGGCCCCTAACTTCCCTCCCCTGTAAGTACTTATCCGGAGAGCTAGCGTAACTCTTGAGTGATTCTGACCGCATTATTCTTTGCTATTCGTCAAATATCTGTAATTCAAGCTTATAAAATCAAAATTGACTATTTCCCTTTGGATACTATTCAAACAAAGAAATCAAATCAATCATAATAGCTTATTTGTCGTGCTTGGCAATGCTTACCAAAGTAAGTGTATAAAAATATATTATTACAAATTAAATGAATGTTTAAGAAATGATAGATTTTGGGGCTAGATCATTTAAACGGGGCCTATACGTAACTTTTCAAAGCTTAGTAATATACACTTCTTACATAGAACAGAGCAAGAGTTGTGTGTGTTCCATAAGATAATCTAGACCTCTGCATTTTTAAGTTTTCTGCATTAATTTTGTTAATATAGGATTAATGTTTTATTTGTGCTGATAGCGATTAATAGAGTTTAGCCTAGAGCTTAAAATTAATGTTCCTAATCTAGTGATGAAGTTGAAAAACAGTTTGAATAATTTAAGTGTTTATTTTTGTCATTCAATATGCGCAAATTTTTATCAAAGATCCTAACAAATGTGTGATAACGACAATATTTATAACACATCAATTAATGTTAAAAAGATAATCACTTGACAATTCGATTTGTAAATTCTCATTACTTGGCTGTTATCGACAAGCTGAAAATAAAAATGCGGACTAAAAATAAAAATGGCACGATAACGCCAAGCCCCCCCAGTAAAGAGTTTATTGAAAAACTATTTATTCAATTTCATGGTTTGGAATAAAAAGAAAAAAAAAGCAAAACAGAGTTTTTATTACCACACATTCAAATCCTGTTTTTATTCGACTGCAGGAACGTTTCAATCATTTTGGCTGTGAGCTTAAAAATAAAGCGATAAAGTTACCCGGTTGATTTATGTATTTGCCCAGCCCTGGGCTTTCGAGATCCGTTTTCGAGTGCGAGTGCGAGTGTGTGCGTGCATTTGTTAGGTCATGAAATATGAGCGCATTAAATTTTATGATATTGTTTGGGCCATTTTCGGCTTTGGTCCATAGCACACACACACTCCCCCACTCCCGTGTAAGGACGGCAAACAAGCGGAAAGTTCAAAGTCAAACAATAACACTTTCCATAAACAAAAAACCCAGCTCACACACGTACATCGTTGTCCCCACACAGACACAGCCAATTTGCTTGAAATCAGCGATGGCAACGTTTCAGTTACCGTTACCTGAGCTCCCGTTATTTCCCATATGAAACTTTCAAAGAGAAACTTTGACCTGAGGTAAGAGCGAGAAAGAGAGTGCATAATATTGGTTTATACATTGCAATTCATGAATTGTGTATACAATATCCTGCATGTTATTTGTATTATAGAAAACAAATACGGCATCTAAATTGGGAAACCGAAATTTCCACACCCTTTCGGTCTGTAAGAATATAATTAAAAAAATCGAGAAAATGAATCAGGAATTATTGGAAGGCTTTCTATCAATATATCTATGACCTAACGTATCAATAACTAAATTACCTATTTTGATTAAATATATATAAGTCTTCTTGATATGGAAATTCATTTTATTTCGTTTATTTCGCATAAACGCAGAATTTAGGCTCTTCGTTTCTGGACAAAGGCAAACAAAAACCACTCGCCTCGTCTCACGTTTAATAAATGTTCCTGTCTGCATTTCGTTGGGAGGCAATTTCCCCGCCCGACCAAGCTTAACTTTTTCGGCGTCCCTTCGAGTGCGCACTTTATCAAAGCTTAGCACCTGACAATTTGCCGCGCGACATGCGGCCAGCCCGTCTTTTTTTTTTCTCGGTGTGTAATAAAAAGTGCTCAGCCGCTTTGTCTTTGCACTCTTCTAGTTGTGGTTGTCGTTGTTGTTGAGTTGCTGTTGTTGCGCTCGTCCTTCTCCACTTTCCACCTTCAGCAGCTTCGTTCCTTTGAGCAACTAATTAAATGAAATCCGATTAGTGCGGCGTGGAAAGTGGAAAGTTTTAGAGTCCTCATCGCATTTCTCGCTGCCGTCGGCAACTTGCTGCACCCTCAATATGCCAGTTGCCGTCTCGAGGTTGCAAGGAGTAAGAAGGGTGTATATGTGGCCAGTAATAAGTAAGGATCCCCTTCAACCTTGAGGTTTTATTTAAGACAACGACTAACAAAGCAAAGGGCACCACCAGTAAGTAACTGAAACAAAAAGCTTCTGGAAAATTCCATGCTCCGGGAAATATATCCGGTAAAATTTTCCTCTTACATACAAAGGTAGGAAATAAAGGTATTAATAAAATTGTTTTTAAATATTTTATTATTTATAAATTGGATTTTAATGGCGGATCGGAATATATATGACTTTGGGATTACCTGGAGCAAATAATACCCCCAACAAGACCAAAATGAAATGAACATTTATTTAAACAAATCTAAGTTTAAAAATAACATATCTAAGTCATAAATACATTAATTTTAATTCGGAAAGCTGTTCTGTTTGATTTATTATCTGGTTAATAAGTCTGCATACTCAATTTAAAATTAAAAAAAAAAACATTTTTGCAATTTTTGACAAGTTTAACGATGTAACCCCTTATAAAATTTGGAAAAAATTAAAAAATGTTTTTTCTCCCTAAATGGCTAGATCGACTCAGCTGTTAATGCTGATCAAGAATATATATGATTTATAGGATCGGAAATGAGTCCTTCATCGAATTGCATCTGACTAAAACTATAATACCCTGCAAGGATATAAAAAAATAATTTTAAATACAAAATTCTTTAACCTGAAGCTCCAGTTTTATTAAATTTTGTAGGATTCACTCCTGTATTAGTATGTACATTGCCTTATATATTCATTTGAACTTTAATAACATGAATCCACCTTAAGAAATATCCCCCACACAATGCTTGGTTTGGATCCTATTGAACTGGGAATTTGGTCTTTTGTTTCCGTGCGCAGGACTTAAGTGTGATTAACCATTTTGGATTTTCCAAAGGGTCACTGCGTTTGTTTAGACTCATACCTAATGGACTGCCTGCGATGAAAGCTTTCATTAAACAACAAACGACAACGGCACTGTGAGCACTCCCGTTTCAAGTGGCACTCGATGGGAATTTCCGTGGAAAAGGCGCTTATTAACGCCACGCCGAGCTGCCACTCAAGCGGTGGGTTCGGTGGGTTGTTGGGGTGGGTATGCTGGGTGGGGTGGCCTTGGTGGCATGCAACAGGCGGCGGGTCTGCTAACGGAGTTTCCGAGCTCTGCTGTCAGCGTGTCACTCAGCTTTTCCGCGCAGAAATCCCGCTGACTCACAGTCCGCATTCTCGAGCTCCCTGGATTGTGCATAAATTTCCACCGAATGCGACCCCACATTCGGAATTTGGATTGGCTGTCGCCTCCTGGCATTGACTTTGAATTCGGCCTTAGCCACCGAGCAGTGCACTTCGTAGTCCTCGTTACTCCTCCAGTTGCAGTCAAACCGACCAGAATTTCGAGGTGAGTCTGTAGCTAATGCATAAAATGATTGATGGCCAAAAAGTGGTCAATGTGGTGTCCGGAAGATGATTAATTTCCAGTGATAGTCAGCTCCTCTGTGGTGCACTGCCACACCGATAAAATTAAAGCAATTAGTTAGATAATTTCAATCACTGTTCAAAAAAAAAAAAGTTTCTATGGCTAATCATCGGAAAGTTTTAAATGAAAAGGCATTGCATAAGGAGTAAAGTGTTAAGCTAGTAAGTAGCGACATCAAAAAGGACATCAATATCTTGGCAAAGATAAGACTCGAGTCCAGTTTCGAATATAACATTTTTGAAAATCAAGTATATGACCTAAAGATTTAATTGAAAATCCCAAGTAATATCTGTTGTGAAACGGTAAATGCCTTTTGGGATAAACTACTGTACTCTACCGCACATTGTACACGCAATCGCAGGACCCCCACAAGTTTATGCATTTATCTCTTTTTAAGGGCGAACATTTCAAATGCACCTGTTAACCGCTGTGGGAATTTATGACTTCCTAGCCGGGTTTCCTTGCACGCTGTTGTTGCTCTCCATCCTGCTGCCATATCCTTTTGCTGCTGCAGCTGAGCTTTGTTTCTGCTCAGCTGTGAGAATGCGATGATAGGGGTAGAGGTGGAAAGGAAGACGAAAGGGCTCGTGTCTTTTGTGCAAGTGAAAGCCATAAATAATAGCAACCTGCAAATGCAAGTACAGGAATTGTTAATTTAACACAAAAGCGCATTATGCAAGCGGATGGGGATCCCACTCAGCATGGCTGTGAGAAGTCAATCCGTGTTCACCTTGACGGGGGGAGGGGCTTGGAGCAGAGTCCTGGGAGGACCCCACTGCCAGCCGGCTAATGGCTTTCACTTTCTGTCCCATCGCCATCGGATGTGTGGGGAGTTTCGTGCGAGAGAGCTCGCTCTCTTCTCAGCTGGATGCTCTTTTTTCTGGTCTTTGAAAAGGTGTCCTCTTTAGTTTTGGTGGTTTTCATGTCTATTCCTATAATATCCTTAATTCCAATTTACAATATGTAAGCTATTATCCTACAGAAACAAATTTTACTATTGTAAATTCTATTTACATTTTATTGACTACAAAGATAGGTAAGAAATCATTAGGGTCAACGCTTTAATAAATCCAAAGGTTACTCGGCTTTGAGTAATTTTTTAACATTTTTTAGGTCTTATTATTATTATTATCAAGTTGTATGACTAGTAATGGGAACATTAACCAAAAATAAATGATTTTAAGTATAGTTAATAATTTCCTTTCGTACCACTCTGTTTATGTATTATATCCTAAAAATATTTATTAAATTAAAGCTCTATAATTATGCTCTTTAAGGGTATTTTAATTTTAGTGAAAAGCTTGAAACGCTGTGAAGGAGTCATTTCCGACCCTATAAATCATATATATTCTTGATGAGCATCAAAAGCTGAGTCGATCTAGACATTTTCAGACAAAATAAAATTTTTCGAAATTTTTTCAAAATTTGAATATTTTATAAGGGGTTACATCGTTAAAATTGTCAAAAATGTTGATTTTCTAATATTTTAATCTTAGTATGCAGATTTATTAGGCTAACAAAAACTAACATAGCGCAGCTTTCCGATTTAAAATTACTGCTCTTTTGGCTTAGTTATGAGTATTTTAAACTTTGATTTGTTGAACAAATTGTCTTATAAAATTTAAATAGTATAGTCAGAAGCTTGAAACGCTGTGAAGGAGTCATTTCCGACCCTATAAATCATATATATTATTGATCAGGATCAAAAGCTGAATCGATCTAGCCATCTCCGGTTAAAAAAAATTTTTTCGAAATTTTTTCAAAATTTGAAAATTTTATAAGGGGTTACATCGTTAAAATTGTCAAAAATGTTGATTTTCTAATATTTTAATCTGAGTATGCAGATTTATTAGGCTAAAAAAAACTAACATAATGCAACTTTCTGATTTAAAATTACTGCTCTTTTAACTTAGTTATTAGTATTTTGAAATTTGATTCGTTGAACAAATTGCCTTACTCAATTGTCGACTCAAAGAATGGTATTATAGTTTCAGTCAGATGCTTGTAACTCAGTGTAGGTTTCATTTCCGACACTATAAGTCATATACATTCTTGATTTTTCATAGGACAGGTCTCGGAATTAAAATTAATGCTCTTTTGGCTTAGTAATGAGTGTTTTTAACTTTGATAAGTTAAACAAATTGTCTTATAAAATATAAATAATATCGACTCAAAGAATGGTATTATAGTTTCAGTCAGAAGCTTGTAACGCTGTGAAGGAGTCATTTCCGACCCTATAAATCATATATATTCTTGATCAGCATCAAAAGCTGCGTCGATCTAGCTATCTCCGGACAAAATATAGTTTTTCGGAATTTTTTTCCAAAAATTGAAAATTTTATAAGGGGTTACATCGTTAAAATTGCCAAAAATGTCAATTTTTTATATTTAAATCTAAGTATGCAGATTTATTAGGCTAACAAAAACTAACAAAGCGCAGTTTTCCGATTCAAGATTAATGCTTTTTTTGCTTAGTTATGAGTTTTTTTAAATTTGCTTTTCCGATAAAACGCATTAATCATACGCACTGTTGCCTCTACTTAAATATATTCTTTACAAGCGGATGGCATTTGTGTTCTGAGATTTTTCATTATTTTAGTTTAAAGGCAAGTTCTAGTAACTTTATTATGCTTTCAATTCCATTTTTCCCAAATTTTCAAATAATCAAAATTGATAAAAATTACTCATACGCCTCGTAAGCTTTTAGTTTTATTTTAATTTACCATCCAGGTTCTGATACATTTTATATGCCTAAAACAAGCTTATTGGATGAAATATTAGAGTGTCTATTTAATTTTTCCGCAAATGTTAAGTAATTTGCATCTTACAAATTACTCATACGACTTGTAGGCCTATGAAATTTTCATTTTAGAGATAGGGAAAGATTTCTGATCGTAATACATTTTGCATGCGAAAAACAAGAATAAAACATAAAATATAAACATTTTCATTTAATATTCCCCCAAATTGAGAATAATGAGGATCTAAAAAAATTACTTATACGACACGTGGACCTGTGTAACTTTTGTTTTGATATAAATAAACAAATTTTCATATATTAGCATGAAAAGCGCCAAGCTTTTCTCCAATCAACTAACCTTTGACAATCAAAGTTAACTGGGAAATTCAGCTTTGGGCACAGACTTCAAGCGAAGAGAGCGCAGTAACGAACTCACCACGAGGACGATAAGAGAGCGCCCGAGAGACCGTTTGAGAGCGGAAAGGAAAGGTGGCTCGCCAGCGAAAATCGTAATTGAAATTCCAGCGCCGCCGATTCGGCGCCTGCAGTGCGTAGGCGGTTGTCGTTGACTGGACGTCGTGGCCAACAGCACGTGCTAACCGAGGCGGCGCGTGCAGCACCAGCATCAGCATCAGCAGCAGCAGCAGCATCAGCAGAAGTAGCAGCAACAACAGCTGTGGTGGCCAGCAGCAGCAACAACGACCAGCGGAGAGAGAGCAGCCATAACAAAGCCCAGCAAATACAACTACACACACAACAACAGCAGGGACAACACTACTAGCACAACAACAAAAGCTTTACGCTAGGCAAAGTGGATAGGTAGGATAGGCAGGATAGGCAGAAGGAAGCGGGAGAGTGTAAGAGTGAGGCAGGGAGAGTAGAAAGAACACTCAAGTGAAATTAAAGCCGATGGAGGAGAGAAAGCAGCAAGACAATACATCAATGCAGGCTAACTGTAATTGCTATAGTGAGTGAGTGAATAGTTTGTGTGAGCGAGCGAGCGGTTGTGCGTGCGAATGGGACAATAAATTAGCTGTAACTTGCACATTGTTATTTGCACATGAATCCCAAAAGTGTATTATAAATATACACATATATTTTTACAAGTGAAATATTCGAGCGAAGCCCGTGGTTGGTAATCAAAGTTAATTTTGGCAACACAAAGAAAAAGAGAGAGCGCCAAGTGTGTGGAAAAAGTAAACGTAAATTTTATTTACGCAAATAATACGCAGAAACGTGAGGGAGGTAGAATTAGAGGCAGCAGCCGCAGCAAACAGCGCAAACAGGATACTTAAAATATCAAGGCAAATATATACACACAGACAACCACACATACAGTGAAACAGACACACACGCACACAGCCACAGGCAAGGAGGTTCATATTTTTGGCCTGCTCCCGCCTCCCACACTCTCTCTCTCCCCCCCCCCATATTCCCCGGCACCTCGAAAAACGCACGAAATAAATATAAAATAAACCCAACATCGTTGAGGTGTATGGCCCCAAGGCAAGGCAAACAAACAGACCCGAAAAAGAAAAGAAGAGGAAAACGAGAGGCAGAAGCGAAAGGAGAGGAACAGGGTAAAACGAAGCAGAAAGATGCCAAAATGCTGGACAGAGATTGATGCTGGCTGCCAACGAACAGGGACAACAACAAAAGCACCAACAACGCCAGCAGCTACGACGCCAACTAATACAATAACAATAATAGCGACAAAACAACAACAATAGCCAGCAGTGACAACCGCCAAGTGTGAGCAGACAAGCGACAGCGATTGAGATATGTAAGTAACATACGACCTCTCTATACAGGCGAACTTCAATTGTTAGCAACCCTTTGGAACTGGTTAACAGAAAATTATGGCAAATAGTGGACATTGAATATACTTGACACGTTAAAAATGCATTAAATGTTTTACAGCTGATTTAAGTAGGAGTTTTATGTGGTTGGAATTAGTAATATCAAATGTCATATTAATAGTTAATTCATTAATATTACCCCTTAATCTCTCATTAAATTTAAAATTCAGTATACCACAAAGATCCCAGAAAGACTCTTAGAAGCATTAATCGCTTATACTTGGATTAAAAGTTAAAAGTTTTTTTGAATATAAGAGACTTTCTTATATATTTTATATTTTATTTTATTTTATATTTGTTTTGTGGAAACGATCAATCAAGTTAAAATATATCGACACTTTTAAGCAATGTCAGCTGCTGTGAGTATAAATTATTTACAACATATTTAAATCTGATATGTGAGTAGGAATTGTAGTAGAAAATGTAATATAAATTCTTATTTTCAAAGTCCTAATACTATCAAGATCCCAAAAAGACTGCAACTCCTTGGTTAATTCTTTGGATTATGGTCTTTATGGTGGGATGGTGGTCATGGCACCAGGTCTAGTCAAAGCTAATGAAAACAAGCTGATTTTCAATGCATTTTTTGGTCAGATTCTCAGCTTTGCAATTCCAGTAAACGGTTTATAAAAGCCTCCTTTATGCCTCAATAATAAATATATATTTATGTGTGCTAATGAAATAAGACTTGAATTCCTCGAAATGGATATTCCCATGGGGAATATCACATTTCATGAAAGTGACGGGCTAATTGCATTTAACGATTCTCGAAAATTCGGAATGAAATTTGATGGAAACGATTGACGAATGTTCGTCACTATTTTTTCAACGCAAATAGAAATTTTTCACACAAAATGGAAAGGTTGAAAAACAAGTAAAAGGCCAAAAAGAAGTCATAGTCAAATATATAAAACCAATGAAATTGGTTTACGTTATAAATTCAAAGTGATGCCGATTTTATACGGTGTAAAATAAAAAAAACCTACTGACTTCTGAATGTATTTGAGATACTTTAAGGTTAGATTTATAGAAGCTTGTCTGTACTAACGTTTTTGCCGAAAGCTTTATGCATATTTTTACAGCATTTAAGTGTGAAATGATGTGTTAGCGCATTATTTGACTTAGGCATGAAAAATGCTAAGCCTCGAACAGAAAGAGAAAGAGTAACAGAAAGAGAGAGACAGCGGAAGACAAAGAGAGCAAAGAGAGACTGAGAAGGACGAGCGAGTGAGATAAGATGAGAGGATGAATTTGTTGAACCTTAGGCCCAGGCAGAGTTGAAGTGGAAAACAAACAGGGCAACAAGGCAGATACACACACTGCCACACACACAGGAGACAGGACACGGCACACACACACACACAACAGAAGGCAACAAGGAATCACACTTAAACGTCACGTTGTCCGCCGTTGCCCAAGTTGTATCAACTTGTGCTATCCCCAAAAACCCCAACAAAAAAAAAAAAAAACCCAAGAGCAAAGCCTCGGCCATTCGCGCAGCATTCGAACTCAATTTGGAAGAGGCGAATACAAACACACCCGCACACCATCACACCCGCAGGACGAAAATCGATTGAACAAAAAAAAAAAAAAAGAATGAGACAGGAAAAAAAAGAAGGGAAATAAGCAAATACAACAATTTTCCTATTTGGGCCTTGGCCAGCCTCAATTCTCATCTGGTTTTTATTTTCATTCCCTCGAATCTAAATTTTTGTTCGTTTGGTATACGAAATGCCATTTCAGGACACGCTCCTGCCAAGGCTCGAATCAACAATTTCGCATTGGCAAGTCTCCGCTTGCTTCTCGGCTAATGAGAAATCAATTAGCTGTGTCTGGACCCGGACCCGGACCCGGGGCCGAAAACGAAAACCAAACCATTCCAGGGCAGACCAGGCCAGTCCAGACCAGGCCAGTCCAGACCAGACAGTCCATTTTGGGGGTCAGGGAACGCTGAAAATTGCATTTTAATGAGCTCAACGATATTTGAAAATGTCTGAATAATAATGATTGGCCATCATCAGGACGAATTCTGTTATCCCCGTCCGCTACGTGCAAATGTATCAAACCATAAACGACCTGACTTTTGAGCCGGACTTGAACTAAGGGTCTTGTAGGGAATAATTTAAACTGGAGAGTAACAAATTTAAATCAAATTAAGAGTCAAAGTATTTACAAATATCTAATTGAATATACTTAAAATGTACAAAACTGTTAAACGTTTTTAATGTTTCCTACAAAAATTAAGGCTTTCCAGTGACTCGCAAGCTGTTTTATTCATCTGAACTTCATACACTGTAATAGTAAAAGTATTATATTATATTATAGAATCACTAGCACACCATCAAGTTACCTAATAACTATTTCGAAAATGAAATTACCCCATTAGTTATCTGTTCAGGTTCTTATAACCTTTAAAACAGCTTAGTAGCCAAATCGATATGCAAATATTTAGGTCTTTCGACCTATGCAAATGCTAATTACCATGGAATTTATTAACAAAGACATTGTCCAGGACAACAGCGTAGGATTGCAGGAATCCTTCGTTCTCCTGGCCATTCGATTTAATGGAAGAATTTATCTCTGCCTGCGACTGCTTTGATATGATTTTAATGAATCCGAATCCAGGGCAACATTCTGTGAGAATTAAATCTAAAGTGGGCAGTGGGAGGCGATGGTTGGGCGTAATTAAATAGATGGGAATGGCGCATGGTGCTTCAGTTCCTTTCATCGGCTGCAGCATCTCAGGCTGTGGCTCGTGTGTGTGTCCTTGAGATGTGAGGAGCTCCACGCCACAGAACCACCCACCACCCGGTTCGGTGTCTCGCTTGAATGTCAACTGATTGCAATTCAAGACGGGCAAAGTGCGGCTGGTGGGGCCAAAGCTTAACTGACATTTAATTGACAAAAGCGATGGGCAGGATGCGGAGATGGGCCACGACGGAGCGGGCTGCAGCCAAGAGAATTCCTCATAAATTACAGCCCAGAAGCGTCGAAGTACGAAAATCAATTTCCGCTGAAACCGTCGGCAATGCAGACTGTTGGCCAACAAACCTGAGCGTCGGGACTCGAAGCCAGGAAAATATCCTGCGGTAGTGGCGCAGGATGGAAGATTGTATATTTTCTTTTTCCTCCGTTTCAGTCGCTTGTTCGCTTCGTGTGTCCTTAGCCTCGCCAACTATATTAACTATGTGCTGCACATGACCGCAGCTGTGCGGCATCCCACCGCTGCTCCACTGCTCCATTGCTCCACTGTTCCATTGCTCCACTGCTCAGTTGTCTGCTGTTAATGGTTCAATGCACAGGATACACAGGATGCGTCGCACATCCCTGTACACTAAAAGAAAACTGAAACTCTAAATTAGTTTTTGTGGAAGTTAATCAATTAGGAAATGATCTTTAAAGGCCATAAACAAATTTATATGATACTTATGTATATACAATATGATTTATATATAGATATATTGTAAGTTGTTATTGCTTGATATTAAACAATTTAAAGATTTTGAATTAACTTCAACCTTATACAAGAAAAACACTATATATATTTCTAATATGTATAAATTTACAACTTACTATTTGCTGAATAGTTGAGCATTCTTTGACAGATTTTCAAGCTTTGCTCAATATTTTCCTACATACAAAATGGTGTGTCATTCCGAAGTACACTGATTGATAGAAAGTATACCTCATATCTCTCTTCCTCTCTCTGTGTGCGGCAGAGAAACCCATCCTTTCTCTACTTCCGCTTGCCTGGTTCCATCTATTTGCACACACATTGCCAGAGCCACTGGCTGACAGACAGCCATCAGTGCTCGGCCAGGCATCATAAGCCGCACCACATCGCCTGGCAGGACAGGAGGCAGGATAGGGGCTGGGCACATCACCCGACATCCAGCCACCAGCTGGATCCACACCATACCGCATTTTATCGCGGGCAGCGCCACGTGCGCCCATCGGGATGTCAGAAACAAAGCGCCAACACTGCCGCAGCGACTAATGAAAGTGAAGCCTCCGACCCAGCTCCAGACCAGACTTGGGCAAACAAACTGAGCTAAGGCCACTCCAGCAGCCCACAGCCTCCCCATACCCATACCCATACCCATACCCATACCCCCAGCCCCTTCCCATTTCCCGATCGGAACGTAAATTGACAAAGGGGACAATGGCGTTGACGATGACAGTAAATTGTGTTCGTACAATGTATCCGTGCACAGGATTGAGCGAACGCATCCTGTAAATTGCTCGATGCTCGATGCTAGGCATTGTTATCGCCTGCTGTTGGCCATGTCAGCTGCAATCCTGATTGACTGTATGACTAGCTGACTGAGTGAATGACATTCTGACAGTATTAAGTATGCATTTTGTGTCTAATCGTTGGAATGGCCAAATGGCATTTTTTGTGTAGTCTGCTTTTTTGGGGCCACATTTTTGATGGCAGCCATAGTTGTTCCCCTCCCAAGTCCTGGCCAATCGATATTGTCGGTATCTATTACAAATGTTCCCTAGCTATAATCTGCTTCAATGCATTTTTATTATTATTATTATTATAAGAGAAAATGCATGGTCAACGTTTTCCATTGAAACCAATTAAAAAAGTTTAAATTCATAGGAAAATAATGGCGGGAGCGGAATAGATAGTCCAAAACTAATTACTTGTTCAATGGCATATTTAATTCCCGTGAGTTGTGTATCATTGAAGTACATTTCCAGGAACAGAAGAATCATCCTGGTCCTCTTGAGTCCGCTTGTGTATGCAAATATGTGACATTTAAGGCAGTTGGTTGGGCTTGGCAAGTGCTGGAGTGCCTGAGTGGCAGGCAAACAATTCCTGGGCAAGCTCATTTACCAGAGTCCGATTACAGTGGAAAAATAAGCATTCCGCATTTTTTTTTGTTTCTTTTGTTTTTTGTAGATAAAAATTCAA